ATTGGTTACTCTCTACATGAACTGAGATTTTCAATATACAGATTATTTTGTTTAAAACAGGTTGGTTGTTTTAAAAATAAAACAATAGGATTGCAATTTTTTTTAAAAAGAAATCTGCGAAAAAACTATTATCCATATGACAGATTCCAATAATTTGAAAATGTCCGGCACTTTACCTGGGTTGATGGATATAGAGGATATATTTAGGGGGGTGGAAAACTCCGCTTCCAAATCACTTGTGTACATGGGCTTCAGCATCCTGAAGGAATAAATGGCGTATGAACCAATCGTCGGTCACCGGCTACCATTGGACTGCATCTCCTAACGTTGCGCCAATGTCTTGTAAATCAGACCGTTAAGTGAAAGGCTCTGGGTATGGCCTCCTAAAAAAACCACATGCTTCGGTCTGGGCACCCAAGCAGTATCACAGCCCTCACACAAATCAAGTAACTTGTTTGGCATATATATGTATTCGGTTCCCCTTTGTACCAATATTTATGTGTTCAAATAAATATATAAACAAATAAATACATTTAAGAATGAACTTAGATTTTGGAGCAATTCTAATTGTTGTAATAAGTATTCAGCATACAGTTATTTAAAACGTTTTCTAGGTAGTTCCATCTTTTTGTTTTCCTTAGTTTCATTTAATCCATTGAAGATTATACGCTTGTAATTGTTTAAAGTTGATATTAAGAATATGTAATAAATGTTAACAATTGAGATCATGAGTTAGTTGAAGCTAGACCACAATGGAAAACCTGGAAGCACTGGACGGTCCCTTCGTCCTATTGTGGGACTCTTTAACAGTGCGCATCCACGACCTCGTCTCGCGGGATTCGAACCCAGAGGCTTAACCAACTAGACCACTGAGTCGACCGGCATCCAACTGTGTTAATGTCTAACTTCAGCTTATCCACGAAATTGAGTGACACATCCATCATTATCGTCAGTGAGTTACTATCTCACAACTAACCCAGTTGAACTCCACTGGTCACTGCTCCTCACTAGAACTCCAGAAAGTAACTCTTGAAGTCAGTCACTAGTGAGCACATGTTGATTAATATCAGAAAGGGGGTTTTATGGAGATTGTAGTAATTTCAACAGTTGAGATCATAAGACAAATTTATTTGTTTCCAAGAATTAACTAAATGAATTACATAATATAGTCACTATATATTTCAGTTTTATTAATGATTAGTTATCATGTAATAATTGATTTGTTTTATAAACTATCGAATAATAAAAATGCATGAAATGTTCCCACGCTCCCCCCCCTCCTCCTCTATTTTTGTTTGTTTGTTCATAAATCAATTCATTTTGAATATATGATTTTATTTATCAATTATTTGTTTACCTTGTTTCAAATGAATTCAATAGATGAATACAATTTGATTGATTAATAAATAATATTATATTAGTTACTATGGTGTAATGCAGTGAATATATCGTCAATGTTTTATGTTTGCTAACTCTTTACGTGCACAAAAAAAAAATCTTGAATCGTTTGGTTTACATATTCATTTAATATAATTGACATATTTACTTACTTATTTATTTACGCCTGTTACTCCTCGTGAAGGAGCATAGGCCGCTCACCAGCATTCTCTATTCAACCCTGTCCTGGGCATTTCTTTCCAGCTCCTTCCAGTTATTATTCATCCTTTTCATATCTGCTTCATTATCCGACGTAATGTGTTCTTTGGCCTCCCACTTTTCCGCTTCCTTTCAGGATCCCAACTTAGGGCTTGGTCTCGTGATGCAGTTTGATGATTTGCGTAATGTATGTCCTATCCATTTCCATCGTCTTTTCCTAATTTCTTCTTCAGCCGGAAGCTGATTTGTTCTTTTCTACAGTAGGCTGTTGCTGATAGTATCGGTCAATGGATGTTGAGTATCTTGCGTAGACAGCTATTTATAAATACTTGTATTTTCTTGATGGTGGTTGTTGTAGTTCTCCAAGTTTCAGCTCCATACAGTAGAACTGCCTTGACGTTCGTATTGAAGATTCTCACTTTGATAAAAAAACTTTCTTATTATATAAATGGTATATTTACTAATCATAATAGTGTGCTATTGCATAGTAGCTTAACGTTTTTCAAGCGTAAATACCCCTCTTCGTATAGAAATATCTGCAACAAACCACAAACGGGTTGATTCATCATAAATGTCCGTTCAAACAATAAGGAAATCATTGCAAGAAACTCAAAATTGACAATCTGTTATTATTTATAGTATTCTAATCTCATTGATTCACTGAGTATATGTACATGCAAAACAACACCAATTGAATTCAAACTTTATCCCATTGTACAAGCTAGTGGATATCAGGACTTAGTAGCTAAGTGGATAACACAATAGCATTTGAAGCGAACGGTATTGAGTTCGAGTCCCAGAGTGAATATCAACTCTGAGATACAGATACATTCAGTTATCGAGTCCCAAATAGAACGAAACGCGCGTCAAACTGAATTCCACTGCTATCTACCATCCATCTTTGTTTATGATACTTGTCTATATCAAGACAATCCACACAGGATACTCACATACCATAAAAGAGATCGATCAATTGCAATCCTAAATAACAATGGAAAGATATAAATAGAACAATACCAAATGAATTTATATTGTTCCCAATTGAATTACTAATGAAATGAGTCAAATTAATCTTATTCAATTGATAATGTTACTTAAACTACTTTGTTACCGAATATCAAAAGAATGTTCTAATATTGTGATTACCGAAATTGCAGTTATCGATTACCAATTTAATTTAATTTAATGATAACTAAATCTGCATAGAAATATCTATATGATTTAGGTATTAGTTTTTTGAGGCTAAAAGCATTGAATTTTATATCATTTATTTAAGCATATAAACATTAATATAAGAAGACACCACATACGTATGTGCCACATAAATCATTCGATTTGTGTGAGAGCTGGTATACTGCCCGGGTGCCTAAACCGAAACAGGTGGTTTTCTTAGGAGGTCACACTCCGAGCCTTCGACCTCAAGTTCTGATCCACAAGGTAGTGGAGCAACGTCAGGAGATTCAGTCCCATGGTAGTTGGTAACAAACAATTGGTTGATACGTCATTTATTCCTTCAAAATTCTGGAGCCTATGTACACCGTTGATTTGGAATCGAGGTTTTCCAACTCCTCTAAGTGAACGTTCTGTGTCCATCAACCCGGTTAAAGCGCCGGACATTCGCTTTTTGTCCTCCCAATTCCGTAAGCAACAGTAATGCTGCGCGGAGGTATAGAGTAGGATTTCTTTGACGGTGGTTGTATGCACGTGTTCATGTGAGAACATTTCCAGTAGAAGAGCTGACTCTCCACACTCTCAACCGTACTAGGGAGTTTGAGGGCAGTACCAGGGTATTTGAGTGCTAGAGTTAATTCTTATATATGTAGTTTATATGCTTATATGTTGATACAATTTAATCCAAATGAGCTTTATTAGGAAACTCATCTCTTCGCTTACATCAATGAAAACTAGAGATCATTAGATTACGCATCTGTTACATTAAATGAGTAATAAAAATCCAATAGTCTATTGAAAATTCATAGTTTTCATTTATAATCAAAAGGAAAGTAAAGGTTTCCTTGTAATGTAGTAGATATATGAACAGATTATAATGAGCTAGGCTAAATGAATCTATTAAACTGTCCATCTTTTTGTATGTTGAGTGGAAATTTTTTAAAATTAATTTAGGACAAATGCAAATTTGATGTTAAAAATATCAGTAGTATAATATCTAAATCAACACCTTGTTACAAATATATAGACAGTTTGAATCTTTGATTGAGATCATGAACTGACTGGTGTTAAACCATCGTTGGAAACCTGAAAGCACTGGATGACCGTTTCGTCCTAGTATGGAATTCCTCAGCAGTGCGCATCCACGATCTCTCCTCGCCAGATTTGAACCCTGAGCCTTTAGTTTCGCGCTCGACCGCTTAACCTACTGGACCACAGATCAGTAAAAGTAACTAACTGATCAGTATATTTCATGGTTTTTCTCATAATTTCTACTACTCACTAATGTTATGATAGCACCATAAAACAAATTCAACAGATTATAATCTATTGATGTTTATTATTAATACAAATTGGAATTTTAGAATAAACAATATTTAGTCATACTACTTATAAGTAGAAACAATCTGTGTAATATACCTTCAAAAGCTTCTGTTTAATTGTTTTCAGTTACTCATTGTCATATGTGATGATTGTCATGTCAAATCAATTAGTATCATTGTTCTTATACCCCCTACCTTATTGATAGAATTTGTCTATTACTAGGAAATATCATAGTTTAACACTACAATAACTAAGTAATTTACACGTTTTTACCATGAAATATCTACTAGTAAAACAAAAAGGCATGAATTGACATTTTTGTATATTTTTATATTTAAAACCATGTAAACACGTTCACTTGGTATTGTTTACTTGAATCTTCTCATTGATATTTGACACTACAATTGATCAGTCTCTTATTCGTAGATGTACATCCTGTGCGGATTGCCTTGGTATATAGCCTTAGGTCATAAGCATTTTAAGCAAAGATTGATAGTGTCTAACAGTGGAATCCAGAACATGCATTTAGTATTATTTAAGACTCGTCAGTTAGATGTACTTGTATCTCAAAGTTGATATTTACTCTGGGACTCGAACCGAATACCGTTCGCTTTAAACACCATCGCATTATCCACTTAGCTATCGAGTCCTAAGTAGCAATGTGAAGATACAAGTAAAGTAACACGATGTGAATTTAAACTTCATCTCATTACATAAGCAAGTGACTATCAGAACTCAGTAGTTAAGACGATAACGCGATGACATTTGAAGCGAACGTTGCTAGGTTCGAGTCCTAGAGTGAACATCAACTCTGGGGCAGCCATATAGTCATACATACACCTTATAAACTAATTTATATTTCTAATCATTCACTTTTTTTTCTTTATTTTCTACTTATTCAATGTATATAGGAAATAATGATGTAACAGTTGGTAAATTTTATGCAACTTTTTTAATACAAGAATGGTTTCGTAGATGGAAACAAAAAAAAGCTGAAGAACAAAAAGCTTTATTACATGGACAAGTAACCAAATATTAACTTACTAATTTTTTCTTGAATTTTTTTATTCACTATATTGATTACATTTCATTGAATAATCATTAACTAGACTTGTATTTAATCACAGATGTCTTAGAAATATTGCTGGCGTCTACTGGGATCACCGGATAAGTTATAGTGAGGTTAGATGCCAGGGTATTAGGAAATGATTATAAATCAATTAACGAGGTTGTGAATTCTCATCGACTGAGTTGGTTGGACCACGTGTTACGTATGCCTGAACACCGGTTACCATGACGTGAAATGCTGACTAGTATTGGAGATGGATGGAAGAAAGTTAGCAGTGACCAAAGCAAAACGTGGCATCAGTCCTTGAAGTCACTAACTTCTAGTCTGATCCATGTTGGTAGATGCAAACTACTTGCTTGGGGTCCATATGACTATCGTAACCAATGGTTGGAGACTCTTGGTGACATTGGTCAGAATCGATAACAATGGCGTACGAAGGTGTATACACTCTCTGTCTACCCTTGAACTATGAGATTAAAATCGCTTCATATCTTTCTTTCTACAAACTAATTCTTTTTTCCTGTACTATATCCTTATATACAATCTTTCTTTTATATATTACCACCACTGAACTAACTACTTTTATGGATCCGGTGTTCATCTTGTTGTGGTGATGAGGTATGGAAGCTTTGACAGATGCATATATATGCCTGATTCTACTTTGTAGCTGACTGACTGAAAATAATATTTTCCCTACAGTTTTGACTCATCAATCATGGAGTTATTCAATTACATAGTAAAGTGTAATGTCTTCGATAAAATGAACTGAATTATGTTACGACAAAGAAAGACTTACATTGTTTAAACTGGTTGATGTTTTATTTTCAACAAGATTTTTCTTTACAATATGAAATTGCTGACCCCATGCTTAACTCTCCTCTTTTACCCAGACTTAGTATGGGCAGTAATTCTAGTATTTATTTCAAATAAATACTAGTTTTAATCAAGATGAAGTCTAATGTTAATAAGCTTAATTCAGAATGTTAGATTTGTTCAGCTAGTTAGTTAATTAAAAAGAAAACTTTCAGTCACTACGTTGATGATATTGTATATGACTCTGAATGATTATATGACTATTTTCTCTTTATCCTGTATATTATCTATTGAAGCAAGAATCAATGTCGTTTGTTGATATTCATCCTAAGATAAACTAACTATAACATTTAGATCAAAATTTATCACAAATCTTCATTAGTTGCTATTTATCTTCATAGTTTTCGTCGTTTCATGTTACAGTGTTCAAGAGTTAGGTGATATTACTCGGATTACTCAGTGGTCTAGTTGGTTAAACGCCTGACGCGAGACTGATAGGTCCTCGGTTCGAATCCCGCGAGGCGGGGTCGTGGATGCGCACTGCTGAGGAGTCCCACAATAGAACGAAACGGCCGTCTGGTGCCTCCAGGTTCTCTGGCCCCCCAAATGCCCTGGTACAGCCCAGAGTGGAGAGAGTACGCTCTCCCTCTCGAAATCCTCTCATATGGCGACGCGTATATAGCCTCTGCCGGGGAAGTCCTACTCACTGCCTTGTCCTGGCGGGGGTGTTGTTTACGAAATTGAGAGGACGAAAAGCGAACGTTTAGCGCTTTATTCAGTTTGGTGGACACGGAGAGTTCACCTAGACAAGTTGGAAAACTATGATTCAGAACCAATGGTGCATATGGGCTCCAGTATCCTAAAGGAACAAATTGCGTATGAACCAGTGGTTGGTCACCGGCTACCATGGGACTGTATCTTCTCACAATGCTCCACTGTCTTGTGGGTCAGAACTTCAGATCGAACGCTTCGTGCGCGGCCTCCTAAGAAGACCACCCGTTTCAGTTTGGTCACCCGAGCAATATCACAGCCTTCACATATATCGAATGAGATTTGTGTGGCGGATATGTATTTGATGCTTCCTTGAACCAATATCTATGTGTTAAAATAAAATAAAAAATCTTGACCAAAGTAGTAATGACAGGAGTTTTATTCACATCATAACAATCGTTTCTATTTGACATGAAATCACAAGTAAAAATGAAGAGAATTCAGAGAAGAAAACATTTTGTTTTCGATGAGATTTCAAATATCTAGAGGTGATTAAACAATGATCAAAGAGTTCAAGAAGAATAGGAGGATGAGAATAATTTATCGGTCAGAAATATAATAAATAATTGTTTACTTGACAGATATAATAGAAAAATGAAAGACCGAATCGTTATGATAATTGAATAATATTCAATGGGAGTTATAGGAATTATTGAATTGGATTAAAATCGTGAATTGTTCCAGTTGAAACCATCATCAAAAACCCTGGATGCACTAGATGACTATTTTGTTTGAGTATATGACTCTTTTGCAATGCTCATCTAAGACTGTACATCCGGTAATCGGTCAGTCAGTCAGCTACAACGTACGACCAGGCACATATATGCATCGGTCCAGGTTGCCATACCTCATTAGCACAGCAAGATGAACACCGGATTCATAGGAGTGGTAATATATAGGAGAAAGATTGCATATAAGGATACAGTACAGGAAGGAAGAATTAGTTTGTAGAAAGAAAGATATGAAGCGATTTTAATCTCATAGTTCAAGGGTAGACAGAGAGTGTATACACCTTCGTACGCCATTGTTATCGATTCTGACCAATGTCACCAAGAGTCTCCAACCATTGGTTACGATAGTCATATGGACCCCAAGCAAGTAGTTTGCATCTACCAACATGGATCAGACTAGAAGTTAGTGACTTCAAGGACTGATGCCACGTTTTGGTTTGGTCGCTCCTAATTCTCTAATCGAACTCATGACCATCAGTTTCTCGCATATACAAAAATCATGAGAAGTTGTGATGATCTTTCCTTCATACCTGTCAAGTGAACAATTATCTATCAAATTGTAACCGGTAGATTATTTTCATTCTCTTGTTTTTGATCATTGTGCGGTCGCCTTGGAATCTCCTTTGAAATCACAAATCACTTCATGATGAAATTTCTTGTATCTTTTTATAGACTTGTATATTTATCAAACAATTATAATTATGAGAGTACAACTAAAATAAATGATTTCAATCAAAAAAAGGTTTTTGTGGATATTATAGTAATTTAATAATCGAATTCATGAATCAATCAAAGCTAGCCCACCATGGAAAACCTGGAAGCACTGTACTCCTTAGCAGTGTTCATTCACGATCCCGCTCGCGGGATTCGAAACCACAGCCCTCATTCTCACGCACGAAGGCTTAACCTCTAGACCACTGAGTTGGCATCCAACGGTGTTAATGTCTAACTTCAACCAATCCGCGAAATTGCGCAACCATCTTCCCGAGAGCGGGATCGTGAAAGCGCACTGCTGAGGATTCGTCCCACAATAGGATGAAACGGCCGTCCAGTTCTTACAGATTTTCAATGGTGTTCTAACATCAATCGGTTCATGATCTCAATCAATAACTTATTAATCTCCACAACCCTATACTGATGTTGTATTATAATCTGATACGCAGTTATTTTGAAGTATACTTACTGATTAATATTAGTAAAAAATGATTGAATTACATAATTTCCCTTATTTATTGCTAATAAGTTAAGTTTCCAAAACATCCATTGTAATGTTTTTTTATTCATTATTTTTTTCTAGGGAAAAAGACATTCAATCATGCCATTCAAAGTAAGTTTGTGCCAATGAATTGTTCAGAACAAATGTCATATATATACTTTTATGTATTAACTAGTAGCTAGATCCTTATGACCGTCCACAAACACATAAATTACGTATGTCCTAGTTAGTTTCTTTATACCATTAGGTTAAACGCTTATAGATTATTCGAATATATGACTATACAGTAAGTCATCATAAGGAGAGATGAATAGTGGCGTGCGTTTCGTCCTGTTTAGGACCCATCAGCTTGATGTTAGTTGATGTTCATTTTGAGACTTGAACCCGGTACTTTTTACCTCAAACTCCATCGCGTTATCCACTTAGCTGCTGAATGAATACAGATAACTACTCACTTGTGCAACAAGTATGAGATTTAATAGATGAAATGTGGCTGGCAACGGATTCTAGGAGGTGTGCTCCGTCATGTTTGAAACTTATCAATTGGATATACTTTGATTTTAGAAGACCAACAACTATTCTTCTTGAAACAAATTACTCTGAAGAATATTTTATTACGTCTATCTAAGGCAACAAACCATTCCAAACTGAATTAAATTAGATTTTGTTTATTGAATTGTATTTTGCAACTTTGACTTACTTAAAATTATAAAAAGCTACCTATCTGTAACTTCTAGTTAACTAAGAAGTTATGTAACACAAATTGATTATTCATTACTTGATCATAATTACTTTATTGATATCATCATTAAACGTAAATGATGAGTAGTTTGCCCGTCATTCATGAACTACACAATTCATTAGAACGTAATGAAATGAATTGAATAAAGATAGAAGAACAAAATATGATCATTTATGTGTTGGGAAAGAATAATGATTTTTGTAATTTATATGGAGGTAAGATATGACATAAACAACATATTTGTGATTAAATTTATGAAACTTTTAAGATTTCCATGAATCCCCCTAAGAGTAACAGTGATCATGTGCTTAAAATCTAACACTTGGATCACTAATGAGAAGACGTGATTAGTGCAGATTAATTGTGTCGAATGTTGAACAATTATCCACCACATGCAATGGATGAAGGTTGCTCTATATTGTGATTTGATTGAAGTTAAACAATGACTGCATTGAATACCGGCTCGAGAATCTAGAGGTTAAGTGTTCGCCCAAGATACGGAATGTCCTGTGTACAATTTCCGGTTGCATAATCATAGGTGGACGATACTGAGAATTCCCATATGAGGATGAAACGGTCATCCAATGCCTTCAAGTTTTCAATGGTGGTCTAGCTATGTACACTTCGTAGTTTAAACTGTGAAAACCTTAAAATCTCCACAAAAATCCCCTCACACTAATATATATGTTCTTAACTGTGTAACTAAGACACTATATGAAGGATTCCAGTATCTTTAGATTGATAGCTTTTATTTGAATGATACCCAGACTTTTTTTAGACTTTAGAAACAAAAATATGGATGTTAAAAGGGATGTTTTTGTGGGTATTATAGTAATTTCAATAGCTGAGATCATGAGTCAATTGAAGTTAGACCACCATGGAAAACCTGGAAGCACTGGACGGCTATTTCGTCCTAATGTAGGACGCCTCAGCAGTACGTACCCACAATCCCACCTCGCGACATTCGAATCCACGACTTGTCAGTCTCACGTGCTAGTGCTTAACCACTAGACCACTGAACCTGTTGACATCCAACGGTGTTAATGTCTAACTTCAACTAATCCACGAAATTGAGCAACACATCCACCATTGTCATCAGTGAGTTATTATCTCACAACACACCCGGTTGAACTTGACTGGTCACGGTTTCTCACTAGAACTCCAGGATATACCTCTTGAATCCAGTCACCAGTAATCATATGTTCGAATCTCGCGAGTCGAGTTCGTGGATTCGCACTGCTGAGAAGTAGTCCCACAATAGGGTGAAACGACCATCCAATGCTTCCAGGTCTTCTATAGTGTTCTATCTTCAATTGACTTATGATCTTAACTATTGAAATCACAACAGACATTACTCAAATAGATAAAACATAATTATATTCCATACTGAGTAATATTCTGGACAACATTTTATTCATTAATCACTAAGTCATTGATATTATTATTAGTAGTATCTTACATTTTATAAAAAGAAAGATATAAGATAATTAAATTAGATTTTCATCTTATAATGATGTATAATTCATTTTCTATAATAATAATAATAATAATAATAATAATAGAGTTTTGGAAAACCTACAACTAGTTCTCTTGAAACACAAAATACTTCAATGAATATTTTATTACCACCATCTGAAGAAACAAGTAAACGTGGAAGTTCTGGTAGCCTTGGTGATGGTGATACGGTTAGTATGAAATACATAATAAATGTTTATTATTATTATTCAATAATTTACAGTTTTGTTTATTTCTTTAAAGAAACTTTGGTGAGATTATAATTTATGAATGAACCAATCAGGTATAAGTTAACAGGTACTCAAATTTTGGCGCGTTATTCATTCATTCATTCATTCATTAGGGTAAATAGAGTTTTGACATTAGAGCTGATGTCATTTGGTGATGATAAACTATAAATCTAATTCCTAATCTTAATCATTAACTGTAAATTATAATTCAAATTTATCACTCTAGTTTATAACCTTCATTTGGTACTGCTTATTATAGGTGTACACTGTCATAGTCGGTCTAGAGTCACTCAAAAGTCATCCATAAATTATAGTCTCATCCACATTTTATGCATTTTGAATATTTTTGTATGATAAAATTTTATAGGTTTCTAGAATGTTCCTGAAATATACTCTTAGCTTGACTAAGAGGTTTCCTTGCAGAGTCTTTCCTACGTCCAGTAAGAAGAAGGCAAATACGCGCTCGCACTAGAGCATGATCTGAATCTAAGCATGTGCTCCAGAATGAACGACAGTCCTCTATCGAACCCCTCCATCGGTGACTAATAGCGATAGGATCGATGGACAAAACACTTTACGGATCATTTCAACTGGTTTTCAGCCACACTTCGGTTTCTCACGATCTGTAGTCAACTTGAATGACAAGTTAATGTAGGTCCTCCGACCCTTGACGAAGTTGAAAAATCTATAGGAAATCTGAAGCGGGGGATTTGAATCTCTGTGCTAATGTGGTGTGTCAACTTGAACTGATGTACGTACGTACGAAGTTCTGCGTTGTTACTGACTGACTGATTTTCATTTTATAACATTCTCTTTTTTGATAAATGATTAAAGCATTCGGTGAGACTATAATTTATGGACAGCGTTTGAGCGACGCTAGACTGTCCTTGAGAGTGTATCCACCTAATAACTAAGACTAAATGAGGGTTATAAACTAGGGCGAGGAATTCGAATTATGATATACAGTTAATGATTAAGGTTAAAAATTAGATTTAGGGTTTTCATCACGAACCAACATCAGCGACAATGCCAAAACTTCATTTAATCAAATGGATGAATGAATTTTGCGCCAAAATGAGAGATCTATTATCTTAAAACTGATTGGTTCATCCATAAATTATAGTATCGCCAAGCATTCAGTTATTTAAACCAACTGATTACTGAATAAATTTCATTAAAGTAAATTATAATAATAGTACTAACTGATCATTTATTCTTCAACTATTATGATGATATAACTTTCCAGGTTAATGAACTAAATCCCGCAGGTGGGATTGTAAATTCGCAGTGCTGAAACGTCCCATATTAGGATGAAACGGCTATCCAGTGTTTCTGAGTTTTTCATGGTGGTCTAGCTTTAACTGACTCATGAATTCAACTATATAACCAAACCAGTCAAAATCCAGTGATTGGATGTTGTTGCTGTTGTTTTCTTTGATCATAAATGCTACTAAATGACGTTGTTGTGGTTTTATCCTCATTCTTTGACTTTAAAATTCCCATATTTTAGTAAATAATTTACATTTATTATGTTTTAAGGTAATGACTGTAAGTTAATTGGCTCATTAAATGATCCCTAAACTACCACAGACCTGTATTTTCTAGCCTTCAATAATCCAACATTATGGAATTAAATTCTTCACAGTATATTATCATGTTAATGTTGATATTCACCAATGATCAATGTAAAGTCAATAACCCTAAAACAAAAAACAGAAAACCTAATTTGTCAGATGATTTACACTATTAAATCGGGAAGCACTGGACAGCTGCTTTGTCCTGTTGTGGGACTCCTCAGTAGTGCGCATCGAGAATCTCTTCTCGCGAGATTCGAACACAGGGTCTTCAGTCTCGCGCACGAACGCTCGGCGTACTAGACCATTGAGCTGACCGGCATCCAACGGTTTTAATATCTAATCTTAACCAATCCACAAAATTGCGTGACGATCTTCCATTTTACTGAGGTAGATACCTGTCTCTACACGACATGGATTAGCTCCACTGGTTCAGTGCTTCTAGATTTTCAATGGTTATCTAACATCATTCGGTTTATAATCTCAATCAATAACCCTATATCCATATTTGTCTTTTCACATAAATATTATAAATTCTTTGAGTTTAAAGTTTTCTTTTCATTATATTTTCATACTCTATAGCATCATAGTTTGTTAGACTCAGTAAAAAATGTTATACAACGAGTAGGTAGTTCAAGACGTCATTCAGAAGTTTCACAATGTAATGAACGTGAAAAATTATCACAGCCATACAAACCTTCATTAGAGTCAACGGATAAAAAGTTACCATTAATTTCTAATGATCATTTACAATCAAATCAAACATCAAAATTGAATACATCAAAAGTATTGATTCCTGATTATTTAAATTCTACATCACAAAGAATAATGCTACCAACAATTAGTCAAGGTAGTCATGAAGATGAAGATGTTGATAATGGTGGAATTGGAGGTTTGAATAAAATAATGGAAGGAAATGTATGTATTCATTTTCTTTTTTTTTTGAGTTATAAATTTTATTGATTACTGAATGTTGATTAATCATCTTTGGGGTGTCAAGTATTATTATTATTATTGTTGTTGTTGTTGTTAATTTGGCCAACTCTATGTTTCGACAATGTAAAAGGTATGAGTTCTTCAAGAAGAAACGAAAATAGATTTCTGAAACTTGACACTCCAATGATCAGATAAGATAATTAGTAGTAAATAATATGATATATGTCCTTGAAGACTGTTGTAACGTATATGTGACTGAAGGTTTTGTGATACGCAGCGTATTTATCGATCGATCACAGTGACACGGTGAACACGTACGTGGACGACCTAGTGCCCTGAATGGCGCTGCTTCGCTCTCTGTCCCAGCCAGTTGAGTCAAGAAACACAAGTCACAACCTCTGAGATATGAATCATTATATTTCAAACATACTTTGTTTATATACCAATCAAGCATACCACATCGTACCATAAAATAGAAAACAACATTTTGTACAATATTCAACAAGTGAACAGATATCGACCAATAGGAAATGTTCATTTAAAGTCCAAGGACACCATTGGACTTAACATCATAATTATTGGTCTATTCCTCCGCATCCACAACAAAGACTTTGTCCCTTCTAACTTCTGGTCTGATCCATGTTGGTAAATGCAGACCACTTGGTTGGGGCCCTCATGACTATCGTAACTAATGCTTTGAGACTCTTGGTGACATGGCTCAGAATCAATCACAATGGCGTCGGTTTATACACTCCCTGTCTTCCCTTAAACCATGAGATTGAAATCACTTCATATCCTTCTTTCTACGAACTAATTCTTTCTTCCTGTACTATATCCTTATATACGATCTTTCTTTTATATATTACCACCTCTGAATTAACTACTATGAACCCGGTGTTCATCTTACTGTACTTAATAGGTATGGCAACTTGGATCGATGCATATATATGTGCCTGGTCCTATGTTATAGCTGACTGACTGGTTAATTCAATGATGTCTTTAAACAGTGAGAATGAAATCGTTTTTTTAAAGTACTCAATTCCGAAGATAAATGCATAGGATATTTGGAAACCATCGGTTATTTCTTGTATACTGAAATATTCATATATCAAATTTATGCCCTGAATTATTATGCTTTTTTTTATGAGCCTCTATGTATTCAACTGAACTGATAACATCACTTAATTTTGATTTACGAGATATGTATATATGTAAACTGGATCGGTTCATGATCTCAATGATATTCAATATTCTCCACGAATTTCTATGCTGATTATAACTACTGTTCTAAATTTTGTAAGCTCTAGTCAAATAGAAACCTACTAGATATACCAACCATCATCTTATTCGCAAAGAGTAAACCTATAGTTGTATACTTTAGATAATAAAGAACACTCTAATTCACTTTGTGAATATCGAAGAATGTTATGATGTTGTGATTATAATTAGCCCGACTAGATATCACATGATTTATTCGACAATCCAAATACAACTTATTCAATCTTAGTACTGTGTTAAATCAATGATGTTCGACTGGTATGGGCAGCTTAACGTCTTTATTGATCCAATCGACAATAGAATGTCAACAATAGATCCCGCTGTTAGCCAACATCCATCACTGCTGATTAATGAAAGTAATTTGTTCAACTTTTGTTATTACAATTCTATATTCATTAAACTTTATTCGTAACTTATTAACAGGCTATACATATAGAGAAGTATAATACAACTAATGACAAATATTATTCTGTTCATCCAAACAAAAGAATTGATAACGGATATATAATTGATGATACTCTACCACAGAAACAATATTCAATAAAACCAGCTGATTGGAATAATACTATTTATACGGCTAGAAATAATGTTACAAATCGGTAATTATTGTATTACATTATCATTTTGAGATATATTTATCATTTCAATTGATATACTACTTACTTACTTACTTACTTACTTACTTACTTACTTACTTACTTACTTACTTACTTACTTACTTACTTACTTACTTACTTACTTACTTACTTACTTACTTACTTACTTACTTACTTACTTACTTACTTACTTACTTACTTACTTACTTACTTACTTACTTACTTACTTACTTACTTACTTACTTACTTACTTACTTACTTACTTACTTACTTACTTACTTACTTACTTACTTACTTACTTACTTACTTACTTACTTACTTACTTACTTACTTACTTACTTACTTACTTACTTACTTACTTACTTACTTACTTACTTACTTACTTACTTACTTACTTACTTACTTACTTACTTACTTACTTACTTACTTACTTACTTACTTACTTACTTACTTACTTACTTACTTACTTACTTACTTACTTACTTACTTACTTACTTACTTACTTACTTACTTACTTACTTACTTACTTACTTACTTACTTACTTACTTACTTACTTACTTACTTACTTACTTACTTACTTACTTACTTACTTACTTACTTACTTACTTACTTACTTACTTACTTACTTACTTACTTACTTACTTACTTACTTACTTACTTACTTACTTACTTACTTACTTACTTACTTACTTACTTACTTACTTACTTACTTACTTACTTACTTACTTACTTACTTACTTACTTACTTACTTACTTACTTACTTACTTACTTACTTACTTACTTACTTACTTACTTACTTACTTACTTACTTACTTACTTACTTACTTACTTACTTACTTACTTACTTACTTACTTACTTACTTACTTACTTACTTACTTACTTACTTACTTACTTACTTACTTACTTACTTACTTACTTACTTACTTACTTACTTACTTACTTACTTACTTACTTACTTACTTACTTACTTACTTACTTACTTACTTACTTACTTACTTACTTACTTACTTACTTACTTACTTACTTACTTACTTACTTACTTACTTACTTACTTACTTACTTACTTACTTACTTACTTACTTACTTACTTACTTACTTACTTACTTACTTACTTACTTACTTACTTACTTACTTACTTACTACTTACTTACTTCAACACTTACTTACTTACTTACTTACTTACTTACTTACTTACTTACTTACTTACTTACTTACTTACTTACTTACTTACTTACTTACTACTTACTTACTTACTTACTTACTTACTTACTTACTTACTTACTTACTTACTTACTTACTTACTTACTTACTTACTTACTTACTTACTTACTTACTTACTTACTTACTTACTTACTTACTTACTTACTTACTTACTTACTTACTTACTTACTTACTTACTTACTTACTTACTTACTTACTTACTTACTTACTTACTTACTTACTTACTTACTTACTTACTTACTTACTTACTTACTTACTTACTTACTTACTTACTTACTTACTTACTTACTTACTTACTTACTTACTTACTTACTTACTTACTTACTTACTTACTTACTTACTTACTTACTTACTTACTTACTTACTTACTTACTTACTTACTTACTTACTTACTTACTTACTTACTTACTTACTTACTTACTTACTTACTTACTTACTTACTTACTTACTTACTTACTTACTTACTTACTTACTTACTTACTTACTTACTTACTTACTTACTTACTTACTTACTTACTTACTTACTTACTTACTTACTTACTTACTTACTTACTTACTTACTTACTTACTTACTTACTTACTTACTTACTTACTTACTTACTTACTTACTTACTTACTTACTTACTTACTTACTTACTTACTTACTTACTTACTTACTTACTTACTTACTTACTTACTTACTTACTTACTTACTTACTTACTTACTTACTTACTTACTTACTTACTTACTTACTTACTTACTTACTTACTTACTTACTTACTTACTTACTTACTTACTTACTTACTTACTTACTTACTTACTTACTTACTTACTTACTTACTTACTTACTTACTTACTTACTTACTTACTTACTTACTTACTTACTTACTTACTTACTTACTTACTTACTTACTTACTTACTTACTTACTTACTTACTTACTTACTTACTTACTTACTACTTACTTACTTACTTACTTACTTACTTACTTACTTACTTACTTACTTACTTACTTACTTACTTACTTACTTACTTACTTACTTACTTACTACTTACTTACTTACTTACTTACTTACTTACTTACTTACTTACTTACTTACTTACTTACTTACTTACTTACTTACTTACTTACTTACTTACTTACTTACTTACTTACTTACTTACTTACTTACTTACTTACTTACTTACTTACTTACTTACTTACTTACTTACTTACTTACTTACTTACTTACTTACTTACTTACTTACTTACTTACTTACTTACTTACTTACTTACTTACTTACTTACTTACCTCAAACCAAAAAAAAACAGGGGTGTAGCTCACTTTCATTGCTAATGATATGGTATTAATTAATTAAATATAAAAATGCATATTCAAATGGTTGTGATGTAATAAACCACCATATTCTATATTGAAAATTTTCTTTTGGGATATACGTTTCACTGGTCTAGCTTTCAATGCAAATTCAACATTTACGCTAAATATATATAGATAGATAGATAGATGGATATGTAGGGAGCGAATGAGAGAGGAGAGAGGGGGAGAAAAAGGAGAAAAGGGAATAAGAATTTTAATAGAGAGAATATATATTTTAATATTTCATTTATACAATTTGAATAAACAAACCATAGAAACAAGTATACCATATAATACCACCAAAAAAAAGTATTAATGAATCAAATCCTTTAAGTATATATTTAGATTAATCTTTCTTCATTCGGTATTTTCACTATAGTATGTGGTTCAGGTTGTTGTTTATAATATTCGATTCATTTTCCATATAATTTGGTTGATATATCCCATGTGATGCACGACGTTTTTTTAACCAACGATATAAATAATAACCACCTATAATTAATCCAATAATAATTAAGATTGGTATAATTATTATAACAGCTAATAAACCTGGACTAAGTTGAGGTTTTGTTTCTTCATTCATTGGTGTACTACTATTTGAAACATTCAATGATGATGATGATGATGATGATTATCACGTCTTACACGTCTTAATACAACATCACGAACAGAATTAATCTCTTGAATATTTTCAATGAAATGATCATGACAATGAATTAATGAAATACATAATTTTGATAAATCATTTAAATGATTATTATTTAATAAACAAGATGGATATATAGAAGAGGATAATTCACTAAATAGTTGATAATCAATATCCCCATTATTCCCCATTATTGATTATTGTCAACATAAATATATATATAATCTTTCCATTGATATAATGGATATTGAATAGAATAATGATCAAAAGATTGATTTAAATATTTTAATGTTACAAATAATGATGAATAAGATTGTGAATGATCTAATTGAAAAATAGCCCATATATTATTATTATTATTATTATTATTATTAAGATCTAAAATATGATTGGATTTTATATAGATTTTTATTAAATCGATTTGAGATTGATTTATTGATTTTATATTAGGTAGATGTAATAAAACAAACATTATTGGATGGATGACCCTTCAATGATGAGGATGATGATGATGGGGATAGTGATGAGGGGGATAACAATGATGATATTAAAGAAGATTTGGAATATTTTATGAAATAATCATTAAAAGGAATTTTAATTGATTTTAATGAAATTTTTGGAATTAATAATGGATTATTAAGATGATTATTATATCCTGATAATAATAATATGAGGAATTGTAATAAGATCATTATTTGAATCCATTCCATTATTATGAATAATGATCGTTTATTGATTTGAATGAATTATACTTTTCAATAGGATCTAATTCTATTGAATCTAATTATAATGAATGGATGTTGAGTATAGAACTGAATTAACTTACATGGATAATTGTAAATCTAATTGATATTAATATGAATGGTAATAATAAACATTTCATAGTCAATTCAAGATGATATACTTCATTTCAAATAACTAATCATGCCTTATTATTTGTTATGATTTGAAATGATCGAACAATGTGGTTCTTGTATAATCTGATTGGTTTTTTTTGTTTATGACAATTTGGTATGTTTCGTTTTTATTATTATTCTTCTTCTTCTATGATTAGATGATAAGAAACCTATCACCTTTATTTATAGGTAGATTGACATAATGCAACATGCATCCATTTGTATAGTCATTAGTTATTCTATAAGCTTATTAGTCTTATTAACCAAACTATATATATATATATATATATATGCTTAAGCACACATACCCAATTTATAAACAAAGAAGTATAAGAAATCATTAGAAAAGTAAGACATACTCTTATAAGACATAAAATGTTAGTTGATATTTGTGTCTATGTTTAGGTGAATTACAATGGTGAGTGAAAAAAAAACTAAACAAAAGAAGATGAAGATAACCAAAAACACAAAATATCAATAGGCACTATGTACTGATTACATAACTAGTTGGGTGAGACCTTGAATAAATTATTTCTTTTGTGTGTGTGTCACTATGACAAAACATAACCAGTTAGCCTCGATATTACATTCAGTCACAAGCTTTATAAGCCAAGATGGATAGTGGCTACCAGTGAAATCCAGGATGTGAGTCACTTCGTCCTATTTGGGACTTGTCAGCTGGATGTATCTGTATCTCAGAGTTGACTCAATAGATAAGTGGAAAACGCGAAGGAATTTGGAGCGAACGGTTATGTGTTAGAGTCCCAGAGTGACGAGCATCTTCGATTCCACTGCTAGCCACTATCCATCTTTGGATATTTATCTTTGTCTTGGCTGTATGAATCTTCCCATTAATGTTTTGGTCAATCTTTATTGACATGTGTGCATGTTAAACGGATTGCCTCGATATTGCCTTTAGTCAAAAGCGTTATGAGCGGAGATGGTTAGTGGCTGGCAGTGGAATACAAGTTTCACGGTTCACTATCTGCATGTACCTGCATCCGGGTAGATGTTTACCTCGAAAATCAAACTCAGTACAGTTCACTTGAAACTCCATCGTGTTATTCACAACCAGCCACCAGCCACCTCTGCTTAAAACACATACACTAATCAGTAATATTGTTTCATTGACTATCACATTAAGTAATATTTTTGTATTCTAGATAACTTTAACCATTCAAGAAAGTAAACGGATCACTTAGTGTCGTATTTTTGTGACATAAAAGTAGTTTTGTCATTCTGTGATCAAACACAGCACATTTTTAATAACAAATCAAAGTATAGCAACTATCCTACAACCAATTTCGATTATGGTTAATTTTGGTTAAGCACTTTTATTAACTTACTTAACAGACAATTTTATTTGAATAGTGACAATTCGCATATTTCTTTGTGCCATTATGATCAACTAGAGCACATGACAGACTCTAGATAAAATGTTAATTGCTTAAACATCACTCAACCATTCATCCCTTCATGTATGTATGTACTAAAATCCTATCATTAACCTTTGCTTTGCCTTTCTGCGCGCTTATGCAATTCGATTGTAAATTTACCTATTTATTTGCTCATATACATTTGTTCGCCTCTCCGCTTCAAATTCACTCGATATGCTTATAGCTTTGTGATCTGAGCTATCCACTAATACATTATAGTAGCTGTTTCTTATTTCCTTCTGATTTTAAACACCGTTGAGAATTTATATTATAACGATTGTCGAGATGATCGATTAACGATGTAAAGCCACTAGAAAATTGGTGATCTCAATGTATGAACACGAAACAATTTTCGACGATATAATCTAATTCCAAAAAATCATGCACTTTGTCTCCATTCGGATTATTATCTGAATTATAATTATAGTTGTGAATTTATTATATCAGAAGGGGTTTGTGGAGATTTTTAGAAATTTTCACAGATTGAAATCATGAGGCCCGCGTGGTGCGGGATCGTGGATGCGCACTGCTGAGGAGTCCCATACTAGGACGAAACGGCCGTCCAGTGCTTCCAGGTTTTCAATGGTGGTCTAGCTTCAACTGACTCATGATTTCAATCTGAAAATTTCTAAAAATCTCAACAAACCCCTTCTTATAATAATCATCTGCTCACTAGTGACTGACTTCAAGAGATACTCCTGGAGTTCTAGTGGGAGTCCGTCACCAGTGGAGTACAACCAGGTCTGTTGTGAGATATCAGCTCACTGAAGACAATGGTATATGGTGGCGCAACTTCGTGGATTGGTTGAAGTTAGAAATTAACACCGTTAGATGCAGGCCAGTTCAGTGGTCTAGTGGTTGGGTGCTCGCGCACGAAGCCAGTAGGCCCTGGGTTCGAGCCCCGCGTGGTGCGGGATCGTGGGTGCGCACTGCTGAGGAGTCCCATACTAGGACTTATTATATCACTATTTTTATTACACATACATTATCTCACAAACATTATTGAACTTTACAGTAATACTCATAATAAATAACGATATTTCACAAATAATTGATATATTGATGCAACTTAGTAAGTACGTTCTATGTTATGAATTGTACCATCTATTATTATCATTGTTTTTGTCTTTAAATAACGACACAATAGACCTTCCATAAATGCCGTCCATGAGATCCAGGCATAACACCACAGTAGATGAAAGGATCAATGTGTGATCAGTCAGTCAGTCAGTAACAACATAGAACTTCGTACGTACGTACATCAGTTCGAGTTGCCACACCACATGTGATAAAAAGAGATTAATGTTTTATGTCACAAACTGACGAACCGAAATCAGAACAACAGACAGATAAAATGGTTACAAAATAGACCGAAAGACATAAACCGATCATGCTCTACGAGACTCTTAACACTGACAATATTCTGGTACCATTCAACATACAATAATAGAGCTCGAAAATATTGATCATTAAAACAATTTATTCTCAAGAAAACAAAATAGAATAATTAAAACTTACTTGATTTTTATCAAGTTCACAATTTCTATATTCTTGTTCACCTTCTTGTTGAAATGTGACAATAACAAAACCAACAAATATATTAATCATAAAAAATGCTATAACAATGATATAAGCCACATAGAAGATAACAACTATTGGACGATTATTATAAACACTTCCATAATCTTCAGCATAAGAGTCAATTGATCTAATAAAATGAAATAATATAGATCAATAACATATAATGAATGAATATTTAATAATGGAAATGACTTGATTATTAAAATAACTAGAATTAGAAACTTATTAATGGATCTATGAATAGTTTCTTATCATTTTATTACTATATAGATTAATAAATGTTGAATAAATTCCGACGAAACTATAATTTATGAATGAACTAATCAGATGGTTGAATAATTTTTTTTCGGTGGTTAGCGTTTTTTTAGCGAGTTAGTTTTCTACGGGATGGGGTCGCTAACCCCGTGTCCAATCCTTCTTCTTTATCCGGGCTTGGGACCGGTAGTAGCCCCTGAAGGGATTCCAGGCGTCACAAGAAAAGCCCTTATATGGAATCCTGAAGATCAAAGAAGGAGAGGAAGACCAAAAAACGTATTACGCCGGGAAATGGACATAGAAATGAGAAAAATGAACAAGAATTGGATGGAACTAGAAAAGAAGACTCAGGACAGAGTGGTTTGGAGAATGGTGGTCGGTGTCCTATGCTTTATTAGGAGTAACAGGAATAAGTAAAGTAAGTAAGTAAAAGTAATCAGATGATTAAAGATAAAAGGTCTTGAATTTTTGGCGCGAAATTCATTGATTCATTTGGTTAAATAGAGTTTTGGCATTATATCTGATGTCAGTTCGTGATGAAAATCCCCCAAATCTAATTTCTAACCATTAACCATCAACTGTAAATTCTAATTCTAATTCTTCACACTGGTTTATCAGCTTCATTTTGTCCTAGTTATTAGGTGTACACTTTCATGGTCCGTTTGGTGTTGCTCATAGGCTGTTCATAAGTTATAATCTTACCGACATTCCATAATCATATAGGTGAATGTAATTTACATAGGAAATAGGTAGATCGACAATATATAACTGTCTTTCTTATATATTGAACAAGTAATAGCGCAGAGAATATTGTTAACTATTGAACTTGCATTTTAAACAACATCATTTGGTTTTAATTTGAAAAAAAAAATGAGAAGAGTACCATAAAATAAATTATTACTATTAAAGTCTCATTATTTTATAAAAGTAATGTAAATTACATCATTGGAAAAGCATCAGCAACAGTCTATGGTGGGATAGGACAAACCAGCTTCCAGCTGAAGAACTGAGAAAAAGATGTTAGGAGTGAATAGGACATAAATTACGGAAATCACTAAACTACATCATGAGATAAGCTCTAACATTGAATCCTGAAGGGAAGCGGAAAAGAGGAAAGCCGTACAACACATTACGTTGGGAAATAGAAGCAGATATACAAAAAGGATGATTAATAATTAGAATCAGCTGGAAAGAAAGGATTGCCCAACACAGGGTTGAATAAAGAGTGCTGTTGGGCGGCCTATGCTACACCATGAAGGGTAACAGGCACATATAAGTTTTAAGATTTCGAATTCTTCCCAAAACATTTAATATTTAAAGTTTTTTTTATATCATACAATCAATATATGATGATAGTTTATCTGTCATAATGTCGAAAGTCTCAAGAGTTAACCTAAAATAATACTCTTCCTAATTGTAATACTTTTTTTTCAAAAGAGTATTGCTTTGTCGCACAACTAACTTTGTCATAGATTGTACTTTGATCGGACATAATTTTTAAAGAAAGATGATCAAATACATTATTGCATTTATTCACTAGAATAAAACGTTATTTAGTCACTTAATCACTATGATCAGTATATAAGTCATCTATGAATAGTTCATCTTTAACCTTATTAATCGATTGTGAGAGTAATCACTACATGTGAATTAATTTCATCAAACATCTTATTAGTCAACCGAAAGAATCAATGTAAGTAGCTCAATGGAAAATGAGTTTCATCTTAAAATACCTTTTATAGTTGATTGATTTAAGCTGAAAGAACTACTTTATGCTATTCGACATGAGATATGTACGTGTCATATTCTAATTTCATAATTGCTCAAGATGAATTCACACACGATTATAACAATGATATTAAATAAACACTTTAGATCTAATGTTAAGATCATAATGTCAGGGGTTAGGCATCTAACTGCTCATGGTCCTTACTGCTCAGAAAGAGCCAAAGATATTTTATCAAATCATCTCTTGTAAGAATATCCTAGAATATCTATTTGCAGCTTCCCGATTGGACATTGCTGATAACCCTCTGTGTGCGGATTGGATAGCTATAATGATAATTTCGTTTTTAATATAAACTATAAGTATCTGACAGTTTTGTATTTTAATTTGACACTGTCTAGAATAACATTCCTTTCGCTAGTCTTCTGTCTTCTCATTGCGACTTGGAAGGGTTATACGCGTCATATCAAGAACATATGCTCTATTGATTATGACCCTAGATTTTTTTAATTTCGCAGTTTACCTCCACTCAGTCAACATACGTCAGGACTTCACAATATCTGATTTTGTAATGAATTTCCTTAGAGGTTTCTTTGCAAGCCGCTCTTGATAAGAAACTAATTACTCTCTTAAAAGACAAAAATAAATACTTAGTAACGCTAAAAAGACCCATGTTATGAAGCTGAGTTTCTAGCTTTATCATAACAGTATTATATACGATAATACTGAATGAAATGGTCTGGATCAAAACCTTACGGAACATCTCAAAAATAGACTCTAGAAAATCATTTTATGATTATGAACTTTAAGAATTTGTAGATTTTGCTAAGAAGCAAACATCTCACGAAGTATGTAAGAGAATAACTTTTGTAAACAATGTTCTGATTATACTTTTCATTATGTGCTTGGCTCAAATATCATGTAGTAGTAGTAGTAATAATTATCCTAAGAGTGATCAAAACATTGAAATTCTCGAACATAGTTGCCAAGTCAACGGCGGTCAGGCATAAAATGTATTTCAGTAGACGATCGATAAGGAAAGAACGGGAACGGAACGCAACTAGTATGAAAATACAGGAACAATGAAATCGGAGACCATGGCTATGATATTTACAAAAGGAACAGTCAAGATTGAGACGATGGATAGATATTTTGCAAATTAACTATTTACTATATGGTTCTCAGATTTTATTGAGATGCTCTGTAATTTCGTGTCAATATATTCGATTGTCCTAATTTGTGTTCTTGTTCACGAAAATACTACTTAGTTTTTCTGCATGTATTACGTTTATTGAAGTGCTAACTTTAGTCCCCTGTTTCAGGTTGATTTATTCAACAACAAAAACGAAATAAAAAGCAGATTAATCATTGTAATAAATATACAAATCTATACTCCCCTATATCTGACTCCAATAAATAACATCCTGTTAACTGAATATTTACGTATGCTGAATCTCGTATTAGTATTATGAATTTACTTGAGACTATTCAAAAGCCAGAACACCAGTTGTAAGTATAGTGTATTGCCAATAACTAATAAAGTCCTCAAGTAACGCAGAAAACAAGCATAGAGGGAATTGAGTGAGAGAGAGAGAGAGCAAAGTGAAACGAACCGTAGAAGGCATGTGAGCATATTCACTTTCACTAAGCGTCAGTTAAAAAAAAGATACAGACGTGATGAGTAGAAGATGGAACTATAATTTATGGACGACTTTTGAGCGACGCCAAAGTGACCTTGTGAGTGCCTACCTACTTACTAGGGCTAAATGAGGATTATAAAGAAGTCTGAAGAATAAGGATTATGATTCACAGTTGATGGTTAGGGTTAAAAATTAGATTTATGGTTTTTCATCATAAACTGACATCAGCTAAAATGACAAGACGCTATTTGGCGAGATGGATGAGTGAATTTCCCGTCAAAATCCGAAACCTGTTATCTTATACCTGATTGGTTCGTCCATAAATTATAATCTCGCTGGTCAAAATGTGACTCAATAAGAATGAATAAATTGGCCTATCCAGAAGATAAAACAAGCCAAGTGGGTTTGACATAGCACTCGACATTACAATGTGACATTAAGCTTATATATGTATTATTGTAGTTTAACTGACTAACTAATAACTGTACAAAGAATTGATAGAATACACCTCTGCTACTAAGCATTGAACTAAAATACAATCTTCAAAAAAGAGAATCACATTAGTCCACAATTCACATAATGAATTTATTTTATCAGAAAGGGTTTGTGGAGATTTTAGGAATTTCACAAACCCCTTCGGATAATAATCATCTGCTCACTAATGACTGACTTCAAGAGATACTCCCGGAGTTCTAGTGAGAAGCCGCTACCAGTGGAGTTCAACCAGATCTGTTGTGAGATATCAGCTCACTGAAGACAATGGTATATGGTGGCGTAACTTCGTGGATTGGTTGAAGTTAGAAATTAACACCGTTAGATGCAGGCCAGTTCAGTGGTCTAGTTGGTTAAGTGCTTGGCGCGAGACCGATAGGTCCTGGTTTCAAATCCCGTGGGGTGCGGGATCGTGGATGCTCACTACTGAGGAGTCCCACAATAGGACGAAACGGCCATCCAGTGCTTCCAGGTTTTCCATGGTGGTCTATTTTCAATTGACTCATGATTTCAATCTGTGGAATTTATTTTAACCTAAATTCCAATTCACCGACTATTATAAATTGTCTATCTCACTTGAATCCTTTAGTTTCTAAGTTAACAAACAATCAATCTTGTATTTTATTATGTGTAAAAACAAATCGTAGTAATAATTGAAATATACAATAAAACATTACCTATATAAAAGACCAGGCCAACCTTCAAATGTTGATACAGCAAATAAAGTGAGCATAGCATTTGGTACATTGTCAAAATTCAATGGATTATTTAACCATACACGTGCTAATACTACAGGTCGACTTATATCACCCAATTCATATGTGATATATTGACCACTAGATAAAATTTAAATATAAAAAGATGTATTATTAATTATAGATAAAGTGACATATATCATGAATCAAAACATCGTTGACAGTTTCTAAGGTTAAAAACATGTCTGTTTTCCTATTTTAAACAAAAATTAACGTTCAATGATGATCATAGAGAATATTCGTATCTCAGGATGAGGATCATGAAGATGCTTTATTCTCTGAAGTAAATTCATCATTGTTAAGCTTTCATTGTTTTTCTCAACAAAATCATCAGTACAATTTTCAAGAAGAAATGATTCATATGGATTTATGCACAGTCGAATAGCTTCTTGTTCTATTGACCTTGAATTAGTTTGGTTATTGTTGTTGAGTGTGTGGCAGTCGTTTATATGTTAATCAGGATTGTTTCGATATCGTACATAGACGGAAAAAAGTGTACTCTCAGATTATGATAAAAGAACGAAGAGCTTCGAAGAAAGTGAAAATAAGGAAGAACACAATCACAATTCTGGTTGACAAAGAACATAACAGAGAGAACGTGTCAGAAGACTGAAATCAGAAAGTCGAGGATCTATTTAATTACCAAGGTTTATGTCAACCACTGAAAACTAATCCTATTCAAAAACTAGATATCTAAACCAGTAGGACTAAACAAACTTGTCAAAGCTGAACAGATAATAAAACAGTATCAATGGTGAACGAAGCCAAACAGACCTGTATTTCATCGGTTTTATAGCAGATGGAAATTAAACAAGTCAAACATCATCAAAAGAACAATCACCACTGTTAGTGGGACATAGATTGGATTAAAGCATGCTCAGTGCACGATTGCTTTGACGCACGCCGATTGGTCAATTCTTATCCAATCAGCGCTAGTCGATACTTGAGGAAACACTCTAGAATCGTCTCATGTAAAAACTATAAATATACTAACGTTTTTCCCATTGTACTTCTGCTTACTTCCATCTAACCTTGTTATTTGGAATATAATCTCTTTCCTGTCCAACTGTGTTCTGATTGGGGGACTTGTCGAGTGAATTGGTGTCCAAGAATACTAAGCAATAAGAATAGCTGGGCTGTAATAAAAGAGAATTATAACAGCCACACTTTCAGTGACATCTACATACAACCGATCATGAGGATTATCAAAGATATTAAAACATCTGGTTATTTTGCCAAGTTTTCAACACAGTTTTTAGATAAGATCGAAAGTGTCCAAATCGCCAATGACGAACCGATGATATCATTTGATGTCACAACCTTATTCAACTTTGTCGAACAAAATTTAGCAAGAAGTACAATATCCCTGCTCATAATCAATGATATGAACCTCTCAAGACACACCAAACCTCAAAGTAAAAACTGGGTTAATCTCACTGAGTTATGTTTGACAATATATTTCCAAATCAGCGGTCAATTATATATACATATATGGAATTCCAGTGTGATCACTGGTTTCCAGATAAATTGTGGATGCAGTAATGAAGTGGCTGAAAAAGTTAGTCCTTTCGATGATTAAACTAGGAATTTGTCTACGATATGTAGACGATAAGTTCATCATCGTCAAAATACATAGATTAGAAAGATTCACAATCTTATGAGCAGCATCTGTGATTGTAAAAAATTAACATTGGAGGTAAAATAAGATAACAAACAACCATTTTTCGCTCTATTTATCACTAGGACCAACACAGGAAAACTGGTGATTCAAGAATACAAGAAAATTAACCTATACTGTTAAAATACTCAACTACAACACCAACGACACAACAACCCTCGAATTACGTTGCATACAAACTTCGTCTAAAAGAATGAAGATACATTGCAGTACAGCTATTGTATGGGAAAACAAGAGATAATACCTAATGGGTGTATTTCAAAAAAGTGAACTATACAAAACTTCATCAACAGATGTTTATAAAACCGATCATCAAGCAAAAAGAACCATTAAAATAATCAAACCTTAAGTCCTACCATCCATCTATGAGATCACAAACAGATTATTAAAATAGCCAAGACTGTGTGTAACTCCCAAGCCCACATTTTTATAATGAGTATTATGCAGCACGATGGACAGGAAGACAAATTGTGATAAACCAAACGTTATCTACAAAATCAATTGCAACAACTGTAACAAAATGTCTGCCCACTCTGTTCACGTTGACATAAACATCAACTACCAGTTAAACGCCACAACATAGTTTGACTGATATCAAAGGACATGAGCAACTGTGAATATGTGTTGAATGGGGAAACATCGAAATATTAGACAAAGAAAACATTAAGAAAGGTCAACAGAGCAAGAAACTAGTTAACTGCATAGAAATCCTTATGAATCATTTCTTCTTGAATTGTGTGCTAATGATGTTGTTGAGAAACACAATGAAAGCTTCACAATTAAAGCAATCAGCTCAAATAATAGGACACCCTTAAAAACATTCAGTTATTTGAAAACAGGCAGATACTATTTATCGTTTACTGCAGTAAACGTAACAAATTATAATATCTGTTTAGTTTTACTAAGGTGGATGGAGTACAATTTGTTATTGAAATACATGACTTAAGAATGTATGGTTCAAGTTTCGCTTTTAAACAAACCATATTGCGCTATTAATAAACTTAATATGGAGAAGTACACGTCGGTATTCGCAACTAATAATTCAATATGTAAATGATATCGCTGAAAAAATTAATGCATTTTCAAATTATGCTTATGTTATCAACAATACCTTCGAAATCGATTTGTGGTAAATTTCCATAAACATAAGTATACAAGCAAAGGTGGATGATGGTTAACAGTAGAATCCAGGACGCTCGTTTCATCCTATTTGGGACTCGTCAGCTGGATGTACTGCATCAGAGAGTTAATGTTCACTACGAGACTTGAACCCAGTGCCGTTCGCTTCAAACACAACTTAGCTACTGAATCTTGATAGCCACTGATTTGTGCAATGGGATGAAGTGAACGATACTGGGTTGGAGTTTCGGAGTGAACATCAACACTCTGATGCAGGTTCACCTAGCCGACGAGTCTGAAATAGGACAAAACGTGTGTCCTTGATTCAATTGCTAGCTACTGTTCACCTTTGCTCATAATGCTTGTGACAACGTAATATTGAGGCAGTTTTAACAGGATGCACGTATACCAATAAGAGACTGATCAATTATAATTCTAAACATTAGTGGGAAGATTCAAACAAACAATATAAAATGAACACAAATGTATGGTTTGCAAATTCTTATCGAACTAATGAATGTTTCTGATGATCAAAATATCTTCTTTATATATTTTAACATGTAATTAGCATTTTCACATGAGAACATATGTAGACATATTACAATATTAAATTTTTATCTTTCATAAATTTCAAAGAAAATAGCACAGAAATAAATTTAATCATGAATGGTCGCTTTTAGAATTTCCAGTTATAGTTGAAATCATGCGTCAATTAAAAAGCTAGACTACCATGGAAAACCAGGAAGCACTGGTTAGCCGTTTCGTCCTAGTATGGGACTCCTCCGTGACCAGTGGAGTTCAACCAGGTTTGTTGTGAGATATCAACTCATTGAAGACAATGATGAACGGTAGCGCAATTTTATGGATTGGTTGAAATTAGAAATTAACACCGTTGGATGCAGGCCAGTTCAGTGGTCTAATGGTTAAGTGCTCGCGCGCGAGACTGATAGGTCCTGGTTTCGAATCCTACGGGGGGCGCGGGATCATGAATGTGCACTGCTGAGGAGTCCCGCGATAGGACGAAACGGCCGTCGAGTGTATCCAGGTTTTCCATGCTGGTCTAGAATCAACCAACTCATGATTTCAACTACTGAAATTTTCTAAAATCTCCACAAAACCCCTTCTGATATGTTTCATCTATGTCAAAAATCCAGAGTTTTCATTGAACATTTGTCGTAATTCAATACTTTTATTTTTGTTTCTAACTCACTTATGAACAATTAACTTAAACTAGTACATGTGACACTTTAGTATTTGTTATATAGCCTACAAGTCACCAAGTTGATTAACATAACGATTTACTTTATTTATATGGAAACTATTATGAAATGAATATATAGAAACAAATAGATTATTAAAAAAAAGGAACTATCACTACTTTTACAATATTTAATTGCTTGAATATATAACATACTAATAGTTAGCGCATTTTAAATTCATCATCTGAATCTTTTCTACTGATGTTTAAGATTGTAATTGTCAGTCTCTTTAGACACATGTGCGTCTTGTGTGGATTGCCTCGATATTTGCCTAAAGTTACAAAGATTATCGGCAGATATAGATGGCAGGTGACAGTAGAGTTCAGGACGCGCGTTTTGCACTATTTTAGAGTCGTCAGCTGGATGTACCTGAATCCAAGAGTTGTTATTCACTCAGGGACTCAAACCCCCTATTACCTACCATTCATCTTTCCTTATAATAATAGCTATCTTTAACTGAAGTAGGTAATTAGAATTCAAAATAACAAGACTTTTAGATCACTGACTGTAGTCTGTAACTGATGAGACAAAAAAGATCACCTTGAAACATGGTTTCCACATTATATTGACAAATACCTGTGACCTGCTTGAACTTCTGCCTAAACGTATACTAAGTGTCATAAAATCCCCTGTTTTCTGTCTATTTCAGTACATTTATTATGGATAAATAAAGTGTCTACAAACTATCGCGAAACTAAAAAAACTCAATAATACGCACTACAGTGATTAGTATATTTTATTCCTTATTTGTTCTTTACAGAAACGATCGTAGAATACCATGAAATCTATTCAGTAATTATATTATTATTCCTACAATTGAAGAAGATATGGAACTCAAGACAACTGTCAACCAATATCAAAGACAGAATCTTCAATACGAACGTCAAGACAGTTCTAATGTACGGAGCTGAAACTTGAAGAACTATAACAACTACAGTCAAGAAAGTACAAGTATTTATAAATAGCTGTCTACGCAAGATACTCAACATCCATTGGCCGGATACCATCAGCAACCGCCTTCTGTGGGAGAGAACAAACCAGCTTCCAGTTGAAGAGGAATTTAAGAAAAAACGTTAAAAGTGAATCGGACATACATTACGCAAATCATAAAACTGCATCACGAGACAAGCCCTAACACGGAATCCTGAAGGGAAGCAGAAAAGTGGAAGGCCAAATAACACATTACGTTGGGAAATAGAATCAGATGTGAAAAGGATGAATAACACACCTGGAAATAACTGAAAGGAATTGCCTAGGACAGGGTTGGATGGAGAATGCTGGTGGTCGGCTTATGTTCCTTCACGAGGCGTAACAGGCGTAAGTAAGTAAGTATATTATGCAATGAAAAGAGATTTCAGTTGCATTAAAATAGTACAAAATCATTGCTGATTTCTTAGAGTACTGACATATGAAACGTATTAGATATGAGAATTCTTAACTGTAATCAAATATAATATTGAATCAAGTGATTATTAAAAGTGTTATTATCTTCTTAATTGAATGTCTCATTAATTTTCATTATATTCACTTACTGACATTGACTTGGTACAAGACGTGAACTATCTGTACAAGAGTGAAATTTTCCAGCGAATAATTGTACACCAATAACAGCAAACATAAATTCAAGCAAAAAAGTAACCATCATTATTTTACCAATACTTTTTACAGCAACTACAACACATTGGACGACATGCTGTTGAATTCAAAAAAACAAAAAAAAGGATGACAAGTGAAATTTATTTTACAGTATAACTACAGTTTAAATATCTATTAAATCATTAAAAAATCTCTTCAGCGAGGAAATCCATTCAGTCGGCATGGTGTTTAGAGATTGTTTATTTTCATTGAGATCACGAACCGCTTTGAGTTAGACCACCATTTAAAACCTGTCAGAGCTATATGGGTGTTTCATAGTAGTATGGAACACTTTAGCAACTCGCAGTTATCCACCGGTGGGCGCAATATCATGAACTGGTTGAAGTTCAACGTTAACACCATTGTATGCCAACTCGGTGGTCTAAAAGTGGAACGTTCTCGCACGAGACTGAAAGTTCTAGGTTTGATTACCGTGTGAGGGGACGTCAATTCCCACAACTGAGGAGTCCTATACCGGGACGCAATCGCTGTCTTGTGTTTCGAGTCTTTTAACGGTGATCTAATATTGATCGGTTAGTGATTTCAGTGATATTGTTTTTAACTAGTTCATTTTCTAAACCTTATAATAGCATAGGTGTGATAAGTTGTGTATCAATCAATGATTTTAGATTTGTTTATAATTGATTAGTTGCTATACAGAATTAGACTAGATAGTCATTTTAAATAAACAAAATTGTTATAGAAGAAAGGAGTTTACAAAACACGAGAAATATGTAACCAATAAGTGGAGTAGCTCTGTTTATCATCAAATTATTGAATGATGAACAAGAAAACTGAATACAAACAATCTATGTAATAAGAAATAGTAAACATTAACAAACAAAGGAAATAATCAAACAACAGATATTTAGCGAAACCTTCAAGTCTCTTAAATTGATGTTCACATTGAATTTCCATTGACTTGATTAAATGAACATTGACATGGTCGGTTAGTTTACGTATATTTAATGGTTGGACAAAGAAGGCTCAGAGTACAATGAATTCACTACGTACTATTGTCACGTTTGGAATAGCTTTATTGGAAAAAGAATAATTTCTCGACTATGGCATATGGTCTTCATATTAGTACTATATTGAAAGTAATGGGTTTAGTCCTAACACCAAAAAGAGTGAGCCATGTGCACCTCAAAATCCGTCGATGATAAGAGATTACCTCTGATTTGAATAATAAACTAAAAGGGTTCACACAAGAACAGATTACTAAGAAGCTTAGTCACAAGAAATCTGGTGTTGAGCACAACTATAGCTGTTTTCTTTTAACATAATAACGACATATTTGGTTAGTTTAAACTAATGATGTATTTCTTGCACCAATCAATGTTTATAAGATTCTACTCAGTAAATCGTAGAACACTCATACATCGAAACTTTTAAGTCACTTTCAGGTCAAAAGATTCGCGTATATATATGCCAGATCTCTTGATGACAAAATACTAAATTTCGTCTTTCATAAGTGTTGGAACAAAACATTGTGGAATTATACTTGCAATATAATCTATTATGTACACAGTGAAGTAGTACCTTACTTGAATTAACAGTGTTACTCTCATACTGATGTAAATAGAAAGTAAATGTTTTCTAAATACAAAGCACATCTATGAGGCTACTTAGTCGAATCACTTGATATCATCTCTTATTTACTTTTCTCTAGAAACAGCTTCATATAAAACATAATACTACCATTTAAAACATTGTTAGAACTATTGTTACTCTGATGTTATTAAAAATGTAATAGATTGAAATAAAGTAATTGGTATCAGAAGGGATTATTGTTGTGATTCTAATAATTTCAATAGTTGAGATCATAAGTCAATTGAAGCTAGACTGGTAGGTCATGGGTTCGAGTCCCCTTGGTGTAGAATCATGGATAAGCATTACTGAAGAGTTTCATATCAGGACGAAACGACCGTCCAGGTGCTTCCAGATATTTTTCATAATAGTCTAGCTTCAATTGACTTATGGTCTCAACAAAACTCCATTTAAAGAAAAAGAAACTAAGAAAGCATATTATAAAATTTGATTTTTTAATACATTAAGATTTTTTAATTGTGTAAATTGTATTTCTGAGTATTCTGTGCCAAATTCAATAATATAAAACAATGCACATTCTGAATTGTTTACATTGAAATAATAAAAGAAGCTCATTGATTCAGCAAAGACTGTTTCTTTTTTGTTGTTTTGGTTTCTTTTTTAACAATATCAACTGTTTTCTGAAACTGTATCATTCCATCTATAAATCATTTTGGTAAATAGTAGTCTAATAGTAGTATAGTCAAGTCTATAAAAATAAAATGGTGTTATTTATAACATAGTCAAGATGATCAAAAGGGGTTTCATTTAATTGAATAAAACGGGGATTGTATCATCATTAAGAGATTATATTATGTAATACTTTTAAAAGGAATGATAAATGATAATCTATAGAATAAAAGTTAAAGACAATCTTCTATCATATGAAGGGGCAGAAGAAAGTAACAATTAATCATCACAATTTGTAGAATTCAAAGGAGTGTTAAAACCAAAGAGAGAATAAGAGAATGAACATAACTCTTCTGTACATAGAGTTCGAGTATGAAATGGTGAATTGCTATAGCATTTTGAATGAGATCTTGAACCGATTGATGTTAAACCACTATTGAAAATCTGGAAGTACTGGAACTCCACAGAAGTGCGGATCCACGATCCTGCCCGCAGGATTCGAACCCAGGGCCTGCATTCTTGCACGCAAACGCTTAGCCTACTACACCACTGAGCTGCATGGTATCCAACGGTGTTAATGTCTAACCTCAATCATTCCATGAAATTTCTATGACATTGACTGTGTACAAATTCTTCATCTAAACCTTTTTTAAGCCAGTTCTCTTTATTTTGTTAAGGATTCTGAATGATGAGTTACGTATTAGGGTGTAACCCAGGTTGAGAATGAGTTTAAAGATTGAGTTTCTGATTGATTTGCATTCTTTTTTAGAGTAATGCTTACATATTCATTTTCAGTTTACGGATTAATTTTTAAAATCTAATTTCATAATATAAAACTTGATCCATCAGAGAGATATATTTCTTTCTTGAAATAAGTTATAATATATCAAATTCATATATGAGTATAATCATAAAACTTACTTTCAAACCTTTCGCTCTATTGATCGCTCTTAAAGGTCGTAATACTCGTGAGACTCGAAGAATTTTAACTACAGATATTGTATCAATACTAAGTAAGATAAAAAAAAAATCAAACAGAATAGCTTCATGTTAATTAAGATGTCAAATAAGATTCTATTAAAATGTTTGCTATGTTGACAGATACAAACTACTTGGTTGGGGTCCACCTGACAATCGTAACCAATGGTTGGAGACTCTGGGTGACATGGCTCACAATCGATCACAATGACGTAGGCGTATACACTCTTTATCTTCCCTTAAACGATGAGAATAAAATAGCTTCTTTCTGCGAACTAATTTTTTCTTCCTGTACTATATAATCTTACTTTTATATATTACTACCATTGAATTGGTGTTCATCTTGTTATGCTAATGAGGTATGGCAACTTCGACCGATGCATATATATGCATGATTCTACATTGTTGCTGACTGTAATAATTCAATTGTTTCTTGATAAATAATATTTCATCATGAACTAACATCTATTAGAGATCTTAAGATAGGTCTAGTTCTTTGTTAAACTAATCATTACAAAATATGAATAATATTTGACTTTAAAACAAATTCTTCAATTCTAAATCAAAACCAATGAAATGACATGATGTTGACAAGTAAGATAGCTATATTAGCAAATATATTGCATACGAAAATATGAACCTATATTTACTATTTGTCAGTTCGATTCATGATAAGACTACTTGTAATCGTGCCCCCAAATGCCCTGGTACGGCCGAGAGTGGGGGGGGTCCGCTCTCCCTATCCAAATTCTCTCACATGGCCACGCGTATATAGCCTCTGTCAGAAAAGTCCTACTCACTACCTCCTCGTGTTGGGGGGTGTTGTTTATGAAATTGAGAGGACGAAAAGCCAATGTCCGGTGCTCTAACCGGGTTGGTATATACGAATAGTCCACCTAGGGGAGTTGGAAAACCCTGATTCCAGACCAATGGTGCACATGGGCTCCAGTATCCTGAAGGAACAAATGGCGTATGAACCAACCGCTGGTCATCGGTTACGATGGGACTGTATCTCCTTACGTCACTCCACTGCCTTGTGGATCAGACCTTTAGGTCCAAGACTCCGGGTCTCCCCCCCCTAAGAAAACTACTTGCTTCGGTTTGGGCACCCGGGGCAGTATCACAGCCCTCAAACATATCAAATGATATCTGTGTGGCGCATATGTATTTGGTGCCTCCTTGTACCAATATCTATGTGTTGAAACAGAATAGAAATTTGTAATCGTAGTCAAGTAATCTTAAAGTAAATGGAAACAGTTAAACAGTTCTATCTGTTATTATATTATCTTCATGACAAATAATTAAAGTAAACATGAGCAGTCAAACAATGAATAATAAGTAAATTGGTAAAAAAAGTAATTAGATATTCATTTTACAGAAGACCATCGATCTTCTATACATTCCAACTGGTTTTCATTCTAACTTCAAAAAACAGTCAAAGAAGAACTAGAAGAACTGGAAAGTCTTAGATAGATACATTCTCTTTAAACATTTAGATACAGAGTTGTAAATAAGAACTAAATGAATTCAACTGAACTCTAATTGATGTGTTATATACCCTTTAGGTTTAAATATACTTCCAATATTTTTACAAAGAAATCAAGTACTTTTACAATATTCGGTTTATATCACAACAAAACACCCTGTATATTTGTGATATTCAGTTCTATTTATAAAGCCTTGATGAATATGAGGTCTAAACTCCAACTACGTGCTTATAAGCAATATGAACTGGTTACAAGTTTATTACACTAATCGATCGACTGGAAATGGTAATATGAACTAATATACAGATAACTTTAGGAAATTATGGTATACTACAATAGAATTCTGGAAATTCAATTTATAACATATAAATGTTTCAATTACTTGCGTAAATATATTTAAACGATTGAAAATCACTACTGGTTTTCACGGTTAAATTCACGAGTCGATTCAAGTTAAATAACCATTGGAAACTTGGAATCACTGGACGGCTACTTTTCACGCGAGATCAAAGGACTTGAATTCAAATGGGATCATGGATGAGCATTAGTGAAGAGTCCCATTACTAGAATGAAACGTCATCTAGTGATTCTAAGTTTTCAATGGTTATGTAACTTAGATCGACTCATGAATCCAATTGTTAAAAATATTACAATCTCCATAAACTCCGTAACGATAATACTGATTTTCTCTTTAATTTAGGATAAGAGATAAAAATTCACAATAGAACTTACTCAATTGGATAAGAAATAATTGATGTAAGAACTACCATAAAATCTAACATATTATTTGCGCTTCGACAAAATGCTCCCTTATGTAATACCAAACCATAAGTAATTATCTAATAAAGAAAATTAATGATATTATTGGTAAATAATTTCAGAATTAATTATATGTTTAACAGATATATGTATATATACTGTATCATTATTTATTCACAATCAAGTTGTAGTAGAATCTTGGACAGTGGTTTTGTCACACAATCTCCATAACATAATATCTCTATTGAAATTAAAACCGGGCCATATTGTATTTGAGGATCTTGGTTTTTCCCATGTGTATGTTGTGACCTGCTGATGCAGAGGCTGCTGCTACACTAGTTGTCTTCATCTGCATTTGTTGATGTGTATGGGATAGAAGAGCTAGGTCATCTGTCAAGTCTAAATAGTCTAGTTGTTTCCAACCTGTCAATTTTATTCCGTGCTCCCTGTTAGATGTTGAGGTCTTCATAATCCAGCCAAACACCAAGAGAGAGAGAGAAAGGGAGAGAGTAGGCAGCCTTGTCTGACTCCCGTCTTCACTTAGAATGCGTGTTATACACGAATTTGAAGTGTAGTTCGCCGTATGCATTTCTTATGATACTCAACAGTGTTGAAGAAGTTTCCATAAAATCCTCCTATCCACACTGTCAAATGCTTTCTCATAATCAAGGAATTTAATGTATAGTGACGGGTTTCATTCAATTGATTGTTCAACGATGATTCGTAGTGTTGCGATTCGGTCTGTCCACGATCGATCCTTACAAAATCCGACCAAAAAACGTAAGTCGGTTAGAAACTTATCAAAGCTTACTTATTGGAGACCCAATAAGACACCATAAAGCCCAATTTATGTAAGCAGAATAAAATCAGCTGTGTACTATAGATACTAATAGACCCGAATGCAGTTGTTACAAAAAAGTGAGACGTTATATTTCGATAGAAATATAGAGAAGTAACTTGACAGTCTTTTCATTATAGCGAAAACCCTTGTCTAATTCCATATTCATTTTCACCACTTATATTTCTCTCAATCAGAACAAATATGTAATTCCAATACTTGAAATCATGAGTCAATTGAAGCCAGACCGAAATGGAAAACATGGAAGAACTGGACGACCGTTTCGTTCTGGTGTGGGACTCCTCAGCAGTGCACATCCACGATCGCGCCCCCGCGAGATTCGAAACCAGGACCTATCAGTCTTGCACGCGAACACTTAACCACTAAACCACTGAGCCGGCCGTCATCCAACGGTGTAAATATCTAACTTCAACCAATCCACAAAATTGCGCCACCGTCCACGATTGTCTTCAGTGAGTTGATATCTCACAACAAACCTGGTTGAATTTCACCGGTCACTGCTTCTAACTAGAACTCAAGGAAATACCTCTTGAAGCCAGTCACTGTTGAGGATATGGTGATTAATAACAGAAGGGGGTTTTGCGCATATTATATTAGTTTCATTAGTTGAGATCATGAGTCAATTGAAGCTAGATTGATAGGTTCTGGGTTCGAATCTTGCGAGGTGGGATCATGGATGTGCACTGCTAAGGAGTCTCACACTAGGACGAAACGGCCATCCAGTGCTTCCAGGTTTTTCATGGTGGTCTAGCTTCAATTGACTCATGATTTCAATCAAAAAAAGATAAAACTTTCAATTTTAAATTTATTTAATCAACAATTCGAAAAAGATTTTTTTTATTGAGATCATGAACCGATTGATGTTAGACCACCACAATTGAAAACCTGGAAGCACTGGACGGCTGTTTCGCCCTTTTGTGGGACTCCTCAGCAGTGCACATCCACGATCCCACACACGGGACTCGAACCCAGGGCCTTCGGTCTCGCGTACGAACGCTTAAAGTGAAATGTAATATGTACCATATGTCAGACTGACCTTTAAAGTTATCTCCACTGTAAACACAGAAGTGAAAAAATAATCAAAGTAGTTCAGTATCTGAAATTAAAAAACAAAAACAACATAAGATAATAACTTCAATGTTATTGTTATATTGAAATAATAAAAGTTTGATCGAGCAAATAGAAGGATTTCAATCGATCTGTACTAATCATGATATTAGAACACTAACTGACTAAGATGACCTAAAACGTTGTACCAATTTCAAATCACGTTCCATCCAATAACAATTAAATTAAGGAAAGATATTAGCATTAACTACAGATGATGTATTTTTTAAACTTCAAGATTCATTTCAATTATGAGGTTAATGATGTAATTACAAATCAGAACAATTGTTTGATTCAAGATTATGTAACGTGTAGAATAATATGAATGCAGAAAGAAATGGTAAATTGAATAGATTTAGTTAAAATAATTGATAGTTCAGTTGTCTGTCAGTCAGTAACAACGTAGAACGAACGTACGTACGTACATCAATTCAAGTTGCCATACCACATTAGCACAGAGATGCAGTTGTCAATTCAAATCTCGTAGTGGTAGAGACAGTAAAAGTATAAACAGTAATCGGGAAGATTAGGGTTTGGAGATGTTATTTAAAGAGTATAATCCAGTGAAAGAAATTTGGAAAGAGAAAAAAGAAAGGGACATGAAGAATTCAGAAGATTAGAATTTGGGAGAACATAGAGAGTGGATGCACCTGAGCCATTGCAAACGATTTTGAGCCATGTCATTCAAGGTCTCTAACCATCGGTTGCTATCGTCACGTAGGTCCCAACCAGGTAGTCTACACCTACCAACATGACTCAGTCCACTTGTCAGTGACTTCATGGATTTGTGCCATGTTTTGGTCTGGCCACCCCTAGCTTTCTTCCAACTTACTCCTATACCACTGAACATAGCACGTCGAGGCAGTCGGTAGTTGGGCATACGTAACACGTGTCCCAGCCATCTCAACTGATAAAGTTTCATCACTTCATCAATGGATTTGCCATCCTTACCTAGTACCCGTTTCCTAACAACTGTGTTACTTATTCGATGGTCCCAGGATATACGAGCAATGTTTCGAAGACACCTATGATCGAATACTAGTAACCTACGAATATCCTCTACTCTTACCGGCCATGTTTCACTGCCATAAAGTAGGCTGGAACGAACTGCTGCACAGTAAACACATCCTTTGGTTGATAGATGGATATCTCGCCTACGCCATAAATGACGCAAGTTAGCAAAAGCTAGTCGAGCCTTCTGTATCCGTGCTGAGACACTAAACCACAAGGGCTGATGAGACTTCCAAGATAAGTGAAGCGGTCGACACACTCAACTACTTCACTCCCTATCACTAGTTCGAGTGTCGATGTAACCCAATCCTGAAGCAACATTTTGCATTTCGAGAGAGAGAATCGCATCCCGAACATGCTTGCATTGTTGCTTAGAGTGGTCAGAAGACTCTGCATTTTGTCAGCGTCTTCACCAAATAAAACTATGTCATCTGCATATTCTAAGTCAACAAGTGAACCTCCCGGTAGAAGTTCAACCCCTGGAAATCTAGACGAGGAAAGTGTTATCTCTAAAAGTACGTCAATGACAAAGTTGAACAAGGATGGGGAGAGTGGACAGCCCTGACGAACACCACTTGAGGTAATCAATTCTGATGACAGTTCGCCATAAGCTCTCACTCTACCAGTTGTGTTCGAGTAGAGAGCCTTTATAAGGTTAATGTACTTCTTTGGTACTCCTTTCAGTGACAAACACTGCCATAGAACCTCACGATCAATAGAGTCGAATGCCGCCTTAAGGTCGAGAAATACTACCATTGTGGGGCGTCTGAATGTGTGTCTGTGTTCTAGAACCTGACGTAGTGTGAATATCTGATCTATACAACCACGTCCAGGTCGAAAACCAGCCTGGTTTTCTCTAGTCTGCTCTTCACGAGCTTTAGTTAGGCGTCGAAGTATTATTGAGGCTAATATTTTAGACACTATATTAGTCAAACTGATTCCTCTGTGATTGTCACAAGAGGACTTTTGTCCTTTCTTAAAAACTGGCACAATCAGTGATTGAGACCAGTCAGATGGGATTACGTCCAGTTCCCAAATTCTACCTAAGACCTCGGTTAATCTCATTGCTAATACTGGACCACCATCCTTAAAAATCTCAGGAGTAAACCTGTCAGGGCCTGCTGCTCTCCCTCGTTTCAGATTTCCTATGGCTTTTTCAACTTCGTAAAGGGACGGAGGACTTACATTAACTTGCCATTCAGGTTGACTGGAGATCGTGGGAAACCGAAGTGTGGCTGAAGGCCAGTTGAACTGATCCCTAAAGTGTTCTGCCCATCGATCCAATCTCCTGGATTGAGAATGAATAATATGTCCATCTTTCTCTGAGATTGTTTCGCTAACGGTCGGGTTCCTAATTCCGGTTTCCTTAACGAGTCTAAACAATTGTCTGCTATTACCTATTGCCGCTGCCTTTTCCATCTCTCTTGCTTTCGCTACCCACCACTGTTCGCGAGGTAGTAAAAGTATAAGCAGTAATCGGAAACATTAAGGTTTGAAGATTTTATTCAAGGAGTATAATCCAGCGAAATGAATTTGGAAAGAGAAAAAAGAAAGGGACATGAAGAATTCAGAAGATTGGAATTTTGGAAAACACAAAGAGTGGATGCATCTGCGCACACCATTACAAACGATTTTGAGCCATGTCACATTCAAGGTCTCTAACCATCGGCTGCTATCGTTTGGTGGATCGCAACCAGGTAGTCTACATCTACCAACATGACTCAGTCCACTTGTCGGTGACTTTATGGATTTGTACCATGTTTTGGTCTGACCGCCTCTAGCTTTTTTCTAACCTACTCCCACACCATAAAAAATCGCACGTCAGAGCAGTAAGTGGTTGAGCATACAAATTATACTATCAATACGGATTAGTCGTTTACAATAGTATATTATGCAAACAGATATCTGAATAAATCCATCGGACTCATAATTGCTCAAGTAACAGAAGCATTAACTATTAAAATCAATAACCCTGAGCTTTATGCACAAAAAGATATACCCAACAGCCTTTTTTTCTGTACCGAATTCGGGCTTCATAAATTAATCATATTGATTATAAGATAATATAAACTCACTAATGTACATAAAGACTATTATTTTTTATATTTTTGTAGCACTAAATTTATCTTCATATACCTTTTTATTATTATTACTATTGTTGTTTTCATTATAACATTTGTTAAAACATTTGACAGATTTGATCTTTCAATAGTTGAAATCGTGAGTCGATTGAACCTAGACCACCATGGAAAACCTGGAAGCACTGGACGGGCGTTTCATCTTAGTATAGGACTCTTCAATAGTGCACATGCACAATCCTGCACACAAGATTCAAACTTAGAACCTTCGATCTCGTGAGAAAACGCTGAACTTCTAGAGCACTAAAATGGCATCCTACAGTGTTAATATCTAAAATGAATCAATCCAAGATATTGCGTGACCATCTTTCATTGTCTTCAGTAGGTAGGTGTCTGACAACCGACGCAGTTGAACCCCAGTGGTTATGGCCTTTCACTAGAACTCCGATAATTCCCTCTAGAAGCTAGTCACCAGTGAGCACATGATGTTTGTTTTGGAACATCAATTAGAGCTTGTAGTTGTAGAACCAGATGACAGCTTATTCAATGAACGTTCTTCATTTATAAATACTCTTGCTTTTAATATGATGGAAATTTTTAAAAAACTAAAATGTCACAAAAATCTTATGTGCAGAACATATAGATTATAATAAATAATTGCAAACCAAGATGTAATTTCTGATCACTTGAAATTTGATATGAACTTAAGTAATTTTTATAAACAATATGTACAAAGACTCAACAATACAATCAACGAACAGACGAATGGAACATCAATATCAAGACTTATTTCAAAAGCAATAATGCAGAGATTAGAAGGCTCAACTTTACCAGTGGTCAAACCAAAAATGTGGATACATTATGTGGACAACACATTCGTCATTATCGAAGCGAATCATTTGTAAAAGACTTACACTTTAACCAACAACGTCTTCGATGACAAAATTCATAATAGAAAAGGTGTTGAACAACAAGCCATCATTCTTGGATGTATTGATAGTCAGAACCAACAAAGAGGTCAATCAATAATCAACAAAAACACATCAAAATCAATCCAATTTATTAAACAATGAGAAAACTCACAGACAATGATAGGATCAAGAATCAAATAAGAGGAAGATGCAATCAAAATAAAGAGGCAGATAATGATTGCTTGAAGGTCAACTATAACCAATCAAGGTCGAGGTTGACAAGACAAGCCATTAGTCATATATGGAGTAATCCAGACACTTTACTTCTACCTGAAGTTTGCGCTTATGATATTGTTCAAAAGAACAATACAAGTTCCACAACCAAACTATTCAATACACAGAATGAAACTCCACCAAATATATAATCACATAAATTTTTTTCACTATCAGATTCCTCTAATTTTAATTTCTGATTTGTATAGATATATCGATAAATGTCCTTAAGAAGTTATCAGTAGTAATTGATAACAATTTCAAACAAGGATTTAATAGAACTACATTAGATCACTGGGCGGTCTATGGTCCTCCACAATGTGTAACAGGCGTAAGTACGTAACTCTGGATCACCATTATTTGATGAAGAAAAATTTACTAACCAAATTAGGTATGGAAAAAAATTATTTCTTTAAATTTCGAAATTAAATTGGTTGAAATTTAAACATTAACACCGTTAGATGCCGGCCGGCTCAATGGTCTAGTGGTTAAGCGCTCGGACGCGAGACTGATAAGTCCTGGGTTCGAATCTCGCGGGGGGCGGAATTGTGGATGCGCACTGCTGAGGAGTCTCATACTCGTACGAAACGGCCGTCTAGTGCATCTAGGTTTTCCATGTTCGTCTAGGTTCAATCAACTCATGATTTCAAATATTCAGAAATTTTTAACACATTTTTTAATAAAACAATACCTGATTACGTGCAGATGATGCATCTAATGGATCTTCAGCTGCAAGCATAGCACTACTAACTAAGATACATACAAGTACAATATTATTGAAATAATTGTGATTGCAAACTTCATGACAGGCTACACGAAATCTGTTGAGTACCAAAAAGAAATTATAGTATTAGGAAATTGAGAAGGTAATTACAACTGGATAGATTAAAAATTAAAGTGAATTTGTAGACTAAAAAAATTAATAAATAGTCAGTATTGGGTTGTGGAGATTGTTAGGTTTTCGATCAAGATTATGAACCGATTGATGTTAGACCATCATTTAAAACCTGGAAGCACTGGACAGCCATTCCGTCGTAGTGTGCGACTCCTGAGCAGTGTGCATCCACAAAAACGCACACTCGATTCGGACTCAGGACCTTCCGTTTCGAGAGCGAACGCTTAACTTCTAGACCACTGGACCGGTATCCAACGGTGTTAATGGATTGATTGAGGCTGGACATTAACACAGTTGTCTAGGGGTTAAGCGTTCGCGCGCGAGACCGAAGACTCTTGGTTCGAATCCCGTTAGCAGGATCGTGGATACGCAGTTCTGAGGAGTCCCGCAATAGAACATACAGTGCTTCCAGGTTTTCAATGATGCTCTAACATCATCCGGTTCATGATCTCAAACATATATATATATATATATATATATATATATATATATATCACTTAGTTACTCCTGTTCGCCTCGTGTAACATAAATTCTTGTAAATACACATTATCTTAACAATAAATGTGGATGTTTTTCTTACATAATTTAGATGATGAGAAGAACAACTTCACTCATATGTCGTCAATATAGACTGTTTTCCCCCTCAAAACTGTTTTCCATTTTCCCAGGTACTTTATTAAAATATTTAATGGATATAAATTTTTATCAATGAAAATATCCAAAATACAGGTTTAATTAACCTCTTTTAAGATAGGTTAATAAATCATTTGGAATATTATATTTGTGTTATTTTTATTAACAAATTAAAGCTTGGGTGAAACGCCACCAAATGCTCTGGTACGGCCGAGATTGGGGAGAGTTAGCTCTTTCTCTCCAAATGCTCTAACATGGTCACGCGTATATAGCCTCTGCCAGAAAAGTTCTACTCACTACCTCCTCGTGGTGGGGGTGTTGTTTACGAAATTGAGAGGACGAAAGGCAAATGTCCAGAGCTTTAACCGGGTTGGTGGACATGGAGAGTCCACCTAGGGGAGTTAGAAAACCCTGATTCCAGACCAATGGTGTACATGAGCTCTAGGATCCTGAAGGAACAAATGGCGTATGAACCAATCGTTGGTTACCGGCTACCATGAGACTGCATCTCCTTACGTTACTTCACCGCCTTTTGGATTAGACCTTCAGGTCGAAGGCTCCGGATATGGCTCCCTAAGAAAACCACCTGCTTCGGTTTGGGCACCCAGGACAGTGTCACAGCCTTCACACAAATCAAATGAGGCTTGTGTGGCGCATATGTATCTGGTGCCCCCTTTTACCAGTATTTATGTGTTCAAATAAATAAATAAATAAATTAGGTGAAACAGAAATTGATTCTATTCAAATTGAGAATCAATACTGACATTTGATATTTAAACAAGATATAAATACTTACGGATTAGTTGGACTGAATATGAAAAATGAAGATGCATTTGGTATTGGTTTTATTTTCTTTGTTGAACTAATTTCTGAATGACGTCTTGAACTAGTTGTATCTTTCATTTTATCAGTTTCATCAGCACTTCTATCATCATTATCATCATCATCGTCATTATCATCATCATCATCATGACTGTCTCTATTTCGATCTTCTTTTAAATCATCATCTTTATCATTTGTTCTTTGTTTATCTTCTATGTTCAAAAATCAACCGTTAACAAAATTCGAGTTAAGTTTATGATATACTTACAATATTAACATAGATTATAATATTCATATAAGTCATTTGGTTTTAATTATATCCATGGTACAATAAATGATGTTGTGGTTATGTCTACATTTTTTTTATTTTACAGTCACAGATACTAATAATTATCGCATTAATTAACTGTACTTATTAAAATAGAAATACAAATGCCTCAAAGAGTAGGTCATTGAAGTGTGAAATTATTGATTAGAATGTTATTTTTATGCAACAAAGTAAATATATATTCACTTGATATTGTTTGGCTTGTATCTTCCCAGTGAGGTTTAAGACTTCAATTGACCAGTCTGTTATTGGCTAGCCACTATCCATCTTTGCTTATAAAAGCTTGTGAATTAAGGCAATATCAAGGCATACTCACAGTATGCATATATGCTAATAACAAGATACAAGCAAAACAACACCAATTGAATTTAAATTCACCCCATTACACAAGCAAGCGGTTATCAGGACTCAGTAGCTAAGTGGGTAACGTGATGGCGTTTGAAGCGAACGGTACTGGGTTCGAGTCCCACAGTGGGCACCAATCCTGAGATGCAGGTACATCCAGTTGACGAGTCCCAATTAGGACGAAACGCGCGTCCTGGATTCCACTATCCATCTTTGCTTATAAAAGTTAATATATTATGTAACATTAGTAATTAAATAAATGTCACACATTTATTTTGAGATTTATTGGAATTCTGACTAATTCTAAAAGGGAAACTCAAAATAAATAGCCAAAAGAAACGTCAGGATTTTTACGAATAACATTTCTAACTGAGCCATGTTTATTAGTTAAAATGGGATGTGACATATGGTGTTACAAGACTACTATTACTTTTTTTAAAATACTACTGTAGTGAACGAGAACACAAGTAGGAACAACCAGAAATGTACTTGAATACAAAATTACAGAATCACTTGGTAAAATCTAGGTAATTCATTTTCAAAGTGTCAATCAATCGTCTTGGACTTCGTTGTTCTTTCATCTCTACACCAATCATTCCTTGTTCTCCTTTTCTTTTCTTTGATCTTTTTAACCTTCTGCCACCAGACATTTCGCTTTCGATTGATGATACATACTATTTATATTTATCGACATCAGTAGCATACACCACACAGTATTTATTATTTTGAGAATCAACGCTCATTTATTGCTTTTACCAAAATCCAAATAAATAATCGATACAAAAATAATAATTCCGAATATGGATCAATTCCTAGACTATTCACACCACTGATGAAAATCTACACATGAATATAGAAATTGTTCTAATTCAAAGTAAGCTTGACAATTAATTAGTTTGAGAATACAAAAGTAATTAGTCATATTTTTCAAATTTACCTCGATCAAACATGCGTCGATCAGGATCAGCTTCTTCATTGATTGGATCTAAACTAAAAGTGAAAAAGTACATAAATTATATATAGAAATATAGTTTAACAATGAATTTTTCAGACAAGTAGATAGGGTAGCAATTGGATCACTTCTAGGCCCGATCCTTGCTAATATTTTTCTGACCAAAGTAGAAAATGGACCGCTTAAAGACATCCTAAATAAGCTTGATTACTACTGTCGATACACAGATGACACATTAATCATATGTGACGAAAATATCGACAAACAGGAGATGTTAGACGCTTTCAATAACGTCCACCCAGCCATTAAATTCACCAGCGAGGAGCAGAAGGACAATAACATAGCTTTCCTGGATGTCCTACTCTCTAGAAGGATAGATGTTTCCATAAAGCGAAATATGTTTAGAAAGTGTACATGGACGGGTCAGTATACCCATTTCCAAAGCTTCACACCTCTGCAATATCAAATAAATTTGGTTAAGTGTCTCAACCACAAAATCAAGTTATTATGTTCTGAAGACAGTGTGGAGGACTAAATAGTTATACTAAAGATCACATTAAGTAATAATGGCTATCCTGATAATTTCGTCAAAAAAATACCTCGTACAAAGTATTAAAAAGAGAAGACATTGCGACACAGTCAGTAAAAAAGACCTTATATCTGAAACTTGACTTTAAAGGCGACATAACGGGTGATATTCTAACACGTCGACTCAAAAGATCTGTCGAAAGGACGTTTCATGCCGCCAAGTTATACATAACTTTCTCGACTAAACCAGTACTCACACAACTAATCAAGGATAAGTTACCGAAGATGGGCTCCTCCATGTGTATATACCAATTCAACTGCTCCTGTGGAGCTAGTTACATAGGCCGTACTCAGAGGGCTTGCGTGTTCGTGAACATGTACCAGTATAGTTGGGAAAAGGAGTCACCAAATCGATTAACAGCACCATTCTTTCTCACTCGGCAGATAGTGAACATCATATCAAAATAGAGGAAACTTTCTCTGTTTTATATCAAGTTCCAAAATATCTACCTCAAGGAGCTAGATTACGACTGCTTTACATAGCCGAAGCCATCTGGATCAACTCCAAAAGACCTCATTTATGCATCCAGAAAAAATATAGTAATATTGATATATTACATGGAGGCCTGATTGATTGTTATTTCATTTAATTCATAAAATCAAATGCTATTATGTTTATAGGTGAGGTCAGTCAGTCAGTCACTGACTGACTGACTGTATGTACAAGATAACTCGAAGAATCAAGTAATTCCTGAACAACCACCTTCATTCAAGCATGAAATTATATTTATTTACATTTTTGAAGTAGAATATTCAAATATTGAGAAGAAAATTAGTTAGTTTCATTCTAATAAATAAAATTCATTGAAGGTTATTTAGAGACTGGATTATTCGAAAGGTGGAACAAAACCGTTTAAGGAATAAAAGTTTTTATACATTCTAGAAATCAGTTCGTAATCAATTATCCCAATAACCAGATCAACTCAAGCGGTTTTTTTTCAATTCCCTATGTCAAGGAAAATCTAGATAATTCTTACTATAATCTAAGCTTTAGGAAATCAAATCAAAGAGTCAGAACTTTTCATCATATTACATGTTAGCTGAGAGCTACAGCACTTGAAGTGAATACGATATCACGTAAAACTTGTGAATGGAACGACAGTCAGCAACAAAATAACAGGACAAGCTGAACTATTCCACTACATCCAAGCCGTGTTAACTAGAGGAAGAAGACCAGATTCAGCCCGGGGAAACATATATTTCACAAGCAGCTAGAAGCACGAAATAACAGGAACACAACTCATGTACATATATACAATGCAAAGATGTCATTGGGAAACGCCAAAAAATAGCGTATTAAAAGAGGAAATGAACTAATGACATTTAAGGTCCTTTCAAGTGGGGAATATAAACTGAAGGTAAAAGTGGGTGCTTAACGGACGAAAATGAGGAACTCAAATTTCTAAAATAAAATTTCAAAAATGAAACGTTTACCAAATGACTTCTGAGAATTTAGCATCTCCAAGATTTGAATGAAGAACATTTTTTTCCGTATGGATTTTAATGTTAAAATTACTCAAATAAACTATAAATTGGTCTAACATCTAACGAATAAATTTTGGCATAGATTCATTTTTCACAACTGATTGATCACTTGGTGGCGATCAATATCATGTATGTCGTCCTTCTTTGTGCAGATCGAATGCTATCGACCATGTTGCAATGTGGCCACCAGTCTAGGTGACTCGACATAGCGTGCACTATGTTGAGATTAGATGGTGGTTGGAGGTAGTCAACAGGAAACCCTGGACCCGGGTTTCGTGCTACTTGTCCCTCGTCAGCAGTGATCAATCAATTGTGATTACATTTCAGTCCTATAGAAGGTCGGTCGCGGCCCGGATAGCTCAGTGGTAACGCCTCTGACTATGAAGCTGGGTGACACGGGATCGAAACCCCCAGAGAGCACAAGTTCCCTCAAGATTACAGGTGCCAAGTAGCACGAAACCCGGATCCAGGGTTTCCTGTCGACTACCTCCAAGCACCACCTAATAGGTCCATTCTTATTTACTTAAAAATGTACAATTTGAGCTATTTATTGAATATAGAAAATGTTTACAGCATTCAAGCTATACTTGACTATTACGATAGGTAAATCACCTTAAACATTTAGATACTATGAGATTTCAATGATAATAATCATTGCTCATTGTGACACTATGTGACTCTAGTCAGAATCTCATAAAAAGCAATCTTATAATCAAGAATGCAGATTTATTATGCTAACAAGTATCAAACAAATATTCAACATCATACCATTTTAGACCTAAGCAAAAATGTATAATGGCTAGCAGTGAAATCCAGTTCGACGCGTGTTTCGACCCATTTGGAATTCATCAGATAGATGTACCTGTATCACAGGTTTGAAGTCCACTTCGAGACTCGAACCCATTGCACAAATTGGTGGCTATCAAGATTCAGTAGCTAAGTGGATAACGCGATGGTGTTCGAGGCGAACGGTACTGGTTTCGAGTCCCAGAGTGAACATCAACTCTGAAATGTGGACACATCCAGTTGACGAGTCCAAAATAGGACAAAGTGTTGCGTATCCTAGATTCTACTGTTAGGCACTATCCATCTTTGCTTAGAATACTTGTGAATTAAGGCTATATCGAGGTAATACGCACAGTTTGCACATAAACCAATAAATGACTGATCAATTACAGTTCTAGATAACAATGGGAAGACTCAAGTAAACAATACCAATTTACATCAAAGCTTCAATAAATACATAAATATACATATATAATTAAAAAAGAAAAATTCAATAAACTAATTAAAATTACTTAATTATTCAGAAATTATATTTTTTAATTGTAAACATGGTATTAATATAAATTTTAGTATCAGAGGGGGTTTAGTAGATGTTACAGTCATTTTTAATAGTTGGGATCATAAGTTAATTGAAGCTAAACCACCATGGAAAACCTAAAAGCACTGAATGGCCGTTTTGTCCTATGGTGAGACTACTCAGCAGTGCACATTCACGATCCTACCTTGTGAAATTCAAACCCAAGACTTATCAGTCTCGCACGCGAGCGCTTAACTATTAAACCACTGAGTTGCTGAAGAGTTCTACAATAAGACAAAACGACCATTCAGTGATATCAGGTTTTCTATGGTGGTCTAGCTTCAATTAACTACGATGAATAAAAAGACGTACAAAGAAGAAAAAACGAAAGCATAAAAAAATAAACAACAACAGTACTATAATAAGAGAATAATTTTGGTTAAACATAAACCCGGAAACGAAATTAACAAAAAAAAGAAATAGTTGTCAATGTATTAGATACCAAGAAATCAATAATAATAATAATAATAATCAAGATGATATAGATTTCTACTTAAATTCCATAGGGAAATTAAATAAGAATTTAGAAATAAACTAAATTAATCCAATTTATAATATGAAATGAAGGAGATGGAAAAAGAAAAAAAGAAGAAGGAAATGAGAGAGGGTCTATACACTTTCGGGTTAGCTATAGAGTTGCAAAATTAGAATTTGAAATGTACAGAAAGTAAGCTAATTATTACTTACTTACTTAAGCCTGTTACTCCCTATGGAGCATAAGCCGCCGACCAACATTCTCCAACTCACTCTGTCTTGTACCTTCCTTTCTAGTTATATCTAATTATTATGCATTCTTCTCATGTCTGTCTCCCTATCTCGGCATAATGTGTTCTTCTTTGGTCCTACTCTTCTCCTTTGGCCTTGAGGATTCCATGTGAGAGATTGCCTTGTGACTCAGTTGTGTGCTTTCCTCAATGTGTGTTCTACCCATTTCCAACGCTTCTTCCTCACTTCTTCTTCCACTGGCATCTGGTTTGTTCCCTCCATAGTAGGTTGTTGCTGATAGTGTCTGATGAACGGATCCGAAGTATTTTGCGTAGGCAACTGTTAATAAACACCTGTATCTTCTAGATGATGGCTTTTGTAGTTCTCCAGGTTTCTGTCCCATACAGTAGAACAGTCTTGATTATTGTATTGAAAAGTCTGCCTTTTGTGTTGGTTGACCGTTGTTTTAACTTCCAAATTTTCTTCAGTTGTAAAAATGCTGCTCTTGCTTTCCCATCCACGCATCACATCTGCATCAAACCCACCATACTCATTAATGATGCTGCCCAGATATGTAATGGTTTTTACATCTTCCAAATCTTCTTCATCAAGTGTGATTCGATTGTTGCATGCTGTGTTGTATCGGAGAATCTTGCTTCTCCCTTCGTGTATATTGAGATGTACTGTTGCTGAGGCTGCTGCTACACTTGTCATCTTGTGCATTTGTTGTTGCATGTGCAATAGAAGAGCCAGATCATCTGAGAAGTCTAGATCGTCCAGCTGCATCCTAGTTGTCCACTGTATCTCATGCTTCCCCTCAGATGTTGACGTCTTCGTGATCCATTCGATCTCCAGAAGGAAGGAAAAGGGTGAGAGTAAGCAACGTTGCCTGATACCATTCTTTGCCTTGAACGAGTCCATCAACTGTCCAGCATGCACGACTTTGCAGTTTAATCCATCATAGGAACCTAATCATACTTCAATGCATATTTCTATATAGTATAAGACTTTTTTTTATAAGTAATTCTTTAAAGCTCTATAATTTTACCAGTATTATAAAATAGAATAGAATATGATTATGTAATCCGTTGTCAAATGATATACGAATCATGAATTTAAAAAAGAAAAAGAAACTAAGAAATATTCTCATAAAATAAGAGAGTTATTTAAGGTTTGTTATATTTGAAGAGATTATGAGTTGATCTAAATTGAGAATGGAACGAAAACTCTGTTAGATAATGACAGATAAGTTAGCTATTTCGAAGTTCAAGTTCAAAAAGAGGGGAATATATTCCACAAGCAGTCAGAAGCATAAACAACAAAAACAACAACAAGCACAACTCAATTGTATATATATATATATATATATATATATATATATATATATATATATATAGCATAAAAATGTCCTTCGGAAGCGTTACAAAATAGCCGACTAAAAGATACAACGAACTAATAGCGTTTAAGATCCTCTCAAATGGGAAATATGATATGAAGGTAAAAAAAATAAGCGTTTTTGGTGCGAAAGCAAGAAATTCAACTCCTTAAAATAGAATTACAAAAATGAGTTCTAGGAATCTAACATTCCTAACAGGTTTACTTTGTGAAGAATTAACACATATATTTTGTAATGAAATGAGAAATCTGATTTGATCCTATTTACGTGTACTATGATACATTAAAGAAAATTATTGTCATTTACAAATAGAATATAATGGTTTAAGAATTATTTTAGAAAATTATGAGACTATTAATTCATATTATAAATGAAAGGACTGATTATAATCAAATTTGGTTAGTGATGATACAAAAACTAACTTATCAGCTAGTTTATCGGTATTTGTATCTACGAAAATTACAAACTGAAGTCTGGAATAATAGACATTAACCTAATCTTAATTATAGCATTGATTGTCAAAAGTAGCATCAGTCTCGTGATTTTCAAAGGATCTCGTCATACACTCTCTGTGTTCGATCATCGTTGTCTCCGAAGGATTGCTGACATCCAGTGGCAACACCATGTTAGTAATGCAAAGGTTCGGCATCGTGTGTTCGGGTGCAGAGACGATAATTCAGTTGGTGTCACCATCTTGAAACACCGACTTCGGTGGCTTGGACATGTTCTACGAATGTCGTCCCAGAGAATTCCACGTCTTGTATTATTTGCCTACTCTGGGACTGGTTGGAAGAAGAGGAGAGGTGGTCAGTGTATGACATGGTGTCGTGGTATGAAGGAAAGCTGCAAAGGGCTGGCTTGTGTTGGTTCTTCACAACTCCCTGGCTGGGGTGCGAGAGATGGTTCTACACAGTGGCTAGAGACGCTATCAGATATGGCCCAGAATAGAATCCAGTGGCGATCCTGATGTAACCTTCTTTTACTTTCTTCGTAAAAAGTGGTTGCTTCTTCCTTAACTGAAAGATTTCTTCTCGCTGTACCTTTTCGTTCCCCCATTATTACTATTATTATTATTAAACTACCTTACACCAATCTGTTCGTTATTGTTCCCCCTTTTCTTTCACGCTCCTTATCTTTTTTCCCTTGTCTTTAAATTTTCATTGTTTTGTGTGGCGCATACATATTTGGTGCCCTCTTGTACCAATATTTATGTGTTCAAATAATAATAATAATAATAAACACCATGAGTTATCACAACTCTACTAATAGAAGATACTTCAACCGTCAGAACAGAGTCTAATTGGTTTAAGTATCTTTTTCTGGTTAGTGTTTTCATTTATATCAAGGTTCTTTTCTTCAGTATAGGATTGTGAACCACATATCTAATCATTCACTTTTATCTTAACCGGTCCAAACTTGCTTCGAAACCTACTTTGAATGGCTTTAAATAATACCAGTTTTTAGCATATTAAAGAAGTTGTCAAATTTAGACTATATGATAAGGCACTATGAAACATAAATCCTTGAGCTGATGAATCATAAATACATTTAAATGAGAAACATTCATGATATAATTTAAGGGTTTTAATTTAAGTAAAACATCTTAACAGTTGAGATCATGAGTCAGTTGAAGCTAGACCACAATGGAAAACCTGGAACCACTGGATGGCCGTTTCGTCCTATTGTGGAACTTCTCAGCAGTGCGCATCCACGACCCCGCCCCTTGCGAGATTCGAACTCAGGATCTATCGGTTTCGCACCAGGCGCTTAACCAACTAGACCACTGAGCCGGCATCCAATGGTGTTAATGTCTAACTTCAAATAATCCACGAAATTGAGCGATACATCCACCATTGTCATCAATGAGTTACTACCTCACAACTGACCCGGTTGACTCATGATCTCAACTGTTGAAATTACTACAATCTTCACAAAACCTCTTCTGATACTAAAATATCTTACTTCAATTGATCTAATAATTGTGTAACATCATTAAATTCATGATGTACTTCAGTTAATTTATTTTCAGTAGTATTAGTTATTGTAGTAGATGTTTTTCGATTGTCTATTGACTGATACATTTTATTTTCTTTATCATTTTCTCCTTCAATTATAATATCTTCATTTCTAGTCATTTCATTTTCTTTATTATCTGATTTTTCACCATCTGTTTCTTCTTTTTTGTCTTCCATTTGACCAGTATCAGCCAAATTATCAACAGCAATAGCCAAAAAGACATTGAGTAGTATATCTATTTACATATTATTACTGAGTTAAGGAAATTATATTGATAATTATACAGACTAGCCTTATAATCACACCTTCTTTGTAATAGTAATAATAATAAATAAAAACCTTACAGTTGTAAATATTTTAAGTCTATGGTAATATAGCTGAAAAAAATGAAGAGATGGTGGAGTGAAGTGTTCTTTTTTTATCTGAAGTTTGTTCTGATGATGTCGTTCAAAAGAACGAGGAAAGCTCCATGATTAAACTATCCAGCTCAGAGAACTAAATTCCATCAAGAAAAGACAATTGTACTGAAATAGTTCAACTCACTTGTGTATTTTCATACACATAGTTCCCATTATCATTTTGAAAAGAGTAAGAACAAAGATTCTAGCAGTATAGCATGAATTCATTTTTATTTCGTAGGTTCTCGTCAGCTGCTTACAACCTGTGATATTTAAAAATCATAACTGCATAATGGATTTAAATTGCTTACTGAATATTGTAAATATATACCTAATATGAAAGAATATTCTACGACAGTTCAAAAGTCGGTTAGAAACAATTGATTACATAATGAATAAACATTGATAGGAATATAGTGAATAGAGCTCAGTTGAAAGATTATTACTTTGAAAGATATTTGAAAAAAAATCTCAAGGTGCAGTGAAGGAATATTTGTCACCAGGGCAAAGAAAAATTAACCACCGTCTCCTTTTGAATACATAGGACAGGTTTTTGACGCCTGATGGCAATGGCTTCAGCAAACTACAGAAGACTGGAGTTTGGCTGCTTACAAATCACCCTAAAGGATTGTAATGTATCTACCTGATGTCCTGTTTCATAGAGATGTTTGATGATTGCACTGTTCATAGTCTTTCTTTCCTTTGTTCTAAGACTTTTTGGAACATGTTCAAAAAATCTAAGATATGCTCTCCTTTCAGTTCGGCCGATGTAGCTGCTTTGGCAGGTACACGTAAATTTATAAATACAATTGGCGGTAACATGAAAGGGTTGCTTGTCGATCTTTGATTGGGTTATTGAACATGTTGTTTTATAGAGAATTAAAAGTTTAGCAGCCGGATAAGTTCTGGCTAGAGCAGTGTTCAGTCAGCGGTTGATTATTCGTGCGACGTTATCATTTTTAAGATATATATATACTGGCTTTTTATTGACCGTAGTTATTTCCGTCTTGTTTTCTTTGGGCTTTTTATATTTGTTAATAAACGTTTGTGGATAAAAGTTGTCTTTTAGACATTTTTCTACGTTCATTATTTCTTCTTCCAGTTTGTCGGTGGTACATATCTTTTCTACCCTGTAAAATAGTGTTTCAACCAATGCCTTCTTGTGACTAATTGGACAAAAACTATTGAAATTCAGGTAGAGGCCATTCCGATTACTTTTTCTATAAACTGAACGTTGGACTGTCCCGTCTCCCCTGAGTTTTATGGCAACATCAAGAAAGTGCAACATGTCGTTCTGTTCGTACTCCTTAGTGAAATGTATGTTAGTGTAAGTGTTATTGAAAAGTTTTAGCAGATGGATTGCATTCTGTTTATTGTTACAGATAATAAATGCATCGTCCATATATTTGGAGTATTCCGTTGTTTCACTAATTGCCTGCTTAACTACCGTGTTTTCAAGATACCCAATATCATCATTTGTGTATATCAAAGAAGAATTACAATTTGACTAAACTTTACAAAAAAACAAACAGTGTAGTCAAGTACATGTTTGTGCACTAAAAACTGCTCCCCCTTGTAGAAAATTTTTTTAAAAAAAAACTGTATTAAAATTATGAACTCTCCCTCTCTTATTAGGTTAAATACCTATGAAATAATAAACATTATAAATGACACCATTTTTTTTCCATTATACAAAAGCTTTTAATGAACAGACAGTTAAACACTTTGTATTTAAATGAATAGAATAGAATTAAGAACAGGTCAGTACATAGTTTCATTGCTGTTAATTAATTCAGAGTTATCTCTTATTATTTATATTGAAAACTCATAATAGCTAGATGTAGTATACAAATATATTTAACATTACTTTAATGTATAAATATCAAAGTAATGTGTTTTACTAAATTTCCTTTTGAATAATATTTGAAAAGTTTACTAAACACCAACGACAAAGTACTTCTAATAAGTATCAGCACTCTTAATATGTATTACGATGTTCTAAGTTACTTACACTTGTTACACCCAATGAAGCATAGGCCGCTGACTAGCATTCTACAACTCACTCTATCCTGGGTCTTCCTTTCTACATCTATCCAATTGTTATTCATTCTCCTCATGTCTGTCTCTATATCTCGGTGTAATGTGTTCTTTGGTCTTCCTCTTCTCCTTTGACCTTGAGGATTTCATGTGAGAGATTGCCTTGTGACTCAGTTGTGTGCTTTCCTCAATGTGTGTTCTACCCATTTCCAACGCTTCTTCCTCATTTCTTCCTCCATTGCATTTGGCTTGTTCTCTCCGATAATAGGTTGTTGCTAATAGTGTCCGGCCAACGGATCCGAGGTATTTTGCGTAGGCAACTGTTAATAAACACTTGTATCTTCTGGATGATAGCTTTTGTAGTTCGCCAGGTTTCCACCCCATACAGTAGAACAGTTTTGACATTTGTATTGAAAATCCTGATGTTTTACATAAGACGACAATAATCTCTTAAACGTAGTATCGTAACATAAACTAAAATACAATATCTATTAGAGGTCTACTTTAATTAAATACATATTAAATTCATTCTATTATGCATAGAAATCAATAATGAATATTATGTAACACCTAATAGTGAATTATTACAATGATTTCAAACTTTTTAAACAAAGATTGATAGTGGTTAGAAGTGGAATCCAGTTTGACGAGCGTTTCATGCTAATTGGAACTCATCAACTGAGATGTTCCTGCATCTCAGAGTTGATGTTCACTCTGGGACTCGAACCCAGTACCGTTCGCTTCAAACGCCATCTCATTCTTCAATTAACTACTGAGTCCTGATAGTAACTTGCTTATACAATGGAGTAGAGCTTAAATTCAATTTGTGAATCATTTCAAAGTTATTATTGTAAAACATTTTACAGATAAATAAATAAGAAAAGGATACAATTTCCACATATAAAAAGTATAACATAATATAAACAGACCATAATACCAACACGACTATTTGAATATGAACGAATTCCATTGTACATAGCTTCATTCCAATCTTCACTAGTTAAAATCTAAGTTCAAAAAAAACAAAACAATAGAATCTAAGGAACCATTTAAAAAAATCAATTAATCTTAGTAACTAACACGTATGAAAAGAAAATTTCAAAGAATTTGACAGAAGAAAAAACAAACAAAACAGTAAGATTATTCAAGAACGATTAGCAAACTGTTTAATGAATCGCGTTATATTCAATTGAAGGTAAATACTAAATAATGAAGATGTAAATGAATTGAATTGATTTATTATACAGAATAATATAGTTTGAAGAAAGATATTAATTATTCGTATTTAATTAACATAAGATCAACTAGGATTGGAATTTTATATTGACAACTGAGATTAAATTTTATTGTATTTCGTTACCTTAATTCATGGGTTCATTAGTGTATTTAATTAAGAATGATTAGGGTTAAAAGTTGTTAATTAAAATTTAACATGGGGAACTCGAACCCAGGAATATGGATCTCGCGCTAACGCTCAATATCTAGACCATTAAACTGTCATCAAACTGTATTATTGTCGAACATTAGCTAATCCACAATATCGCGTGATTATGTTCCTACCGAAAAAAATGTAAGATGGATGCCAACTCAATCATGTAGATGTTAAACATTCGTATGAGACCGAAATTTCTCGATTCGAGCCATACATGTGGGATTGTTGTTGGTCAATGTTGAGGATTTACATATTACAACGAAGCAGACGTCCAGTACTTCGGGTTTTTCAATGATGGTCTAACATTGATCTTTACCTGATTTCAATAAAATTCAAAAATCTCCACAATCGCATAATCAAAATCTAAGAATTGATTTATTTATTAAAACGTTTCAGTATTTCTGAAAATGATATTTACAGACAAAGAAAAATCTATTTCAGAATTAATCTAGTACTTCCAGGTTTTCCATTGTGGTCTAGCTTCAATTAACTCATGATCTCAACTATTGAAATTACTGCAATATTCACTAAACCCCTTCTGATACCAATCAACATATGCTCACTTGTGACTGACTTGAAAAGGTATACCCTGGAGTTCTAGTGGGAAGCAGTGACTAGTGGATTTCAACCGGGTCTGTTGTGAGATAGTAACTCACTGAAGACAATGGTGGATGTGTCACTCAATTTTGCGGATTAGTTGAAATTAGAGATTAACACCATTGGATCCCGGCAGGTTCAGTGGTCTAGAAGTTGAGCATTCGCTCGTCAAACTAATAGATCCTGGTTTCGAATCTCATGAGGAGAGATCGTGAATGCGCACTGCTGAGGAGCCCCACCATAGGACAAAACGGCCATCTAGTGCTTCCAGGTTTTCAATGGTGGTCTAGCTTCAACTGACTCATGATCTTAACAGTTAAAATTACTACAATCTCCATAAAACCCTTTCTGATATTCAAATATTATTTACCGATAAGGATAGAAACATTTTTTTAAAAAAGAAACAAAGATACTCACTTGAAAAACTGTTATAAGGGATTGATAAAAACTATCAAAATTTGATCTTGGCTTTTCTTCTCTTGGAAAATTAAATCTTCCACCAAATAATTGCATACCAAGTAAAGCAAATATGACAATGAATAAAAATAATAGAACTAATAAACTAACAATTGATTTTAAACTAGCTAATAATGAACCAACTAGATTACGTAAGCTACTCCAATATCTGTAAATGTAAAGTAAAAAAAGAGAAAAGAAAAAACAAACAAACAGATAAATATCAGATGGGTTTTGTGGAGATTGTAGTAATTTCAATGGCTGAGATCCTGAGTCAGTATATCGGCATATCCTGGAGTTCTAGTGAGAAGTAGTGACCAGTAAAGTTCAACCAGGTCTGTTGTGAGGTAGTAACTCACTGAAGACAATGGTGAATGTGTCGCTCAATTTCGTGGATTAGTTAAAGTTAGACATTAACACCGTTAAATTCCGGCTTAGTGGTCTAATGGTTAGGTGCTCGCGCGCAGGACTGATAGGTCCTGGGTTCAAATCTCGTAGGGGGCGAGGTCATAGATGTGCACTGCTGAGGAGTTCCACAATAGGACGAAACGGCCGTCCAGTGCTTCCAGGTTTCCCATGGTGGTCTAGCTTCAATTGACTCACGATCTTAACCATTGAAACAGATAAATGGTGATTTGTGATGAGATATAAAGATATTGTATAAATTTATGTGGAAACCACATTCATAGAATTATGTATACTAGCTGTAATAATTAAGTAGTTAAATAGAATAAGATTAAATACAGCAACAACAAAAACAACTAAAGTGTAAAAGGGTTCTTGATCAGAATTAACCTACATATCAAGGTAATATATAAATTGATAGTTTCAAAGGTTTTTCATGCATTTCATTCAAACAACTAAGGTATATATATATATAAGTGTATTTCGAATAGTGTAACTTTCATAACTTTAAATGGTTACTTCAACTAAATTATAATTTAATAAAGATGAAGGAATATTATAGTCATTAATAGTAAATCTATGAAATTTGTCACTTTCTTTGAACCAGTGATCCTTAAGGCTACACACTCATGTTTTTCAAAACAAATAATTACTTTATAAATTGGATACGTTGTAAAGGGAATTAGATAATTTACCAGTTTTCAAGAAATATATTCATCTGCGCGAGAGACTGATAGGTCCTGATTTCGAGTCCCGCGAAGCGGGGTCGTGGATGCGCACTGTTGAGGAGTACCACAATAGGACGAAACAGTCATCCAATGCTTGTAGGTCTTCCATGGTGATCTAGTTTCAATTAACTCATGATCTCAACTATTGAAATTACTACAATCTCCACAAAACCCCTTCTGGTATAATGTTTTTAATGAAATTATTCATATTACAAGGTACTTAGTAGTTAAATATTCCATGATTTTGTATAAGACATACGCATAAATCTTATCAATACATGTTTAGTTTAGGGTCAAGTTTTCATTTAAATTAGGTATAAAAAGCTTCACGAATTGAGGAAGGTAATCACTAGTTACTGATTTCTACTTAATCATTAAATCCAATATGATTAGTGTGAAAATAAAAAAATTCTGGCTTCAACTATGTACATATAAATGTAAATCACCAAATAGGAATAAGCATTAGTTCAGTGCTCTCTTTGATAGACCTGATGAAACCAAACGAAATAATATGTTGTTTCAAGACCGAGCCGATCAAACTCATTCAAAAGAAATTGAATTTTGCCGGACCAAGTAGACTGCACTAAATGTTCTGTTCGAATCAACTTCATGTCAAGTAATTTTAAAATCAGTTATCAATCAATTGATGTCAAAATTTGAACATAACAGTAAGAACAAGTATAGCGTAAAGAAGCGAATATATTTTGTAGATTATCATCAGCTGCTTATAGCTTAAAAACGATAGTAATAATTAGTTATCAAGCAGTAGCACTGTGCTATTGCTCATCATTTGCTTGATAGTGGATATGATGTTAGGATTTTAAAACCGTCGAAAATAAACGGTACCCGGACAATTTTCAAATTACTACGCTATATCAAGGCCATTATGATGAAAAAGTCGAAATCAAACTAACATATTCACAAAGATGAGATTGTAAATCTCTCATTACCTTAAAAGCTTATATTCTTCTATAATTCACTGATGTGATATCTTATTTCACATTCACAACATGAAATTCTATTCCCATTTTTGAGTCTTGTTGAGCTTCAGTTCGCATACTCTGTGATTACATTGAATTCTACGGTTATTATGCGAATATTCATTTTTTTTTAAAAGCGAATTTCAAGAATATTTTCTTCTAGAATTTTCACGATTTGGTAGCATAAAAATGTTTATTCATCTTACCACTTTATAATTCTCCCATACTTGTTGTCGCTATTTGAACGTATCAACGGGAAAAACTGTGTTTCATGTCAGAATCCATTAACAAATGTTAATAAATGTAATTAGAAGTTCCTCGTGAAGGCACATTGCTAATTAGTCTCTTATTAGAATGAGTACCACCAGGTTTACAATTACAGTCTAATAATGGTCGGTTCATGACCATTAAATTAAACAGAAAATACATGATTTGTTAGCATTGAGATCGAAATCTATGAAATATTAATTAAGCATATCCTTTATAGAATAGAATAATTTTTTTCTGGTTAGAGTTTTTTTAGCGAGTTAGTTTTCTACCGGATTGGGTCGCTAACCCCATGCCCAACCCTCCTCCTTTATCTGGGCTTGGGACCGCCAGTGGCCCCTGGAGGGACTCCAGGCGGAGTAGAAACCATTCATGATAATAATTAAATTAATCATCAAATTAATCCATATTTAAAAAAGAAAATATTCTTACTTCATAATATGAATCTTACCTGGTCACTTTAAATACACGTAATAAACGAGCACAACGTAATACAGATACTCCTAATGGTGGCATCACTTTAGTTTGTATTAATACAACTTCAATAATACTACAGATAACCACAAAAAAATCGAATCGATTAAACATAAAATCAAAATAACATCGTATTCCTAAACTGTACATTTTAATTAACATTTCAATAGAAAAGAGGACAACAAATACAATATTGGCCATATCTAAAAACAAAAAAAAGAGAAGGGGGAGAGGGAGGGGAAAGGGGAGATAGAGGAGGGGATGAGGAAGAGAAAAACAACAAAAATATGTATATTTGTATATTCAACATTATAAACTATTCTTTATTGAATTGTACCGATAACAACAAAGCCAAATAAATACATCGTTATGAATAGAGGAGAAATAAAACAAAAACGAAAAAAAAAACAACCATAACTAAAATTTCTGTTGTCATTTGACATGGAAAAAAAGTTTTGTTGCTAACTAATTTTATTGATCCATGTAATGTTTGTTTTTTTTTAATTTATAAAAGTACCCTATTATAAAATTGGCATGATGTATAACAAGATGTTTCATAATGTATCAAGATATTATCTATACTATTAAACATTCATAACATAGTCTCAAAATTGGTTAATATCACTTTATTTGACTTCAATGTATAATATCTCGTTAAATTCGTATTTCAGTGGGCCAATTCTCTTAGTAATTCACTTGGAAATATTCAAAAGCTGGAATATCAGTTGATGGAATAGTGTATTATGAATCATGTAACCATGTAAGAGACCAAGGACATTGGGAAGCGAGTGAATAAGTAAAACATTGAAACATATATGCGTATATTATGAGTGTTAGTCAATTGTGGATGGGTCATTGATTGTCAGTGTTTATAACCAATGGGAGGATAGATAAAGTTGAGGTGAATACATACGTCCAATCATGTGTTAAATCTGACCATTTATCCAGAACACCACTCATGACATATTTGTAATAAAGATGTTAAGTAATACAGGACTTTATGCTTTTTAGATATTTCCTGCGTCTAAATCCAAATGTGAGAAGTATTTTGTATAACTGACTTCAGTAGGTAATCGGTCTCAAGAATTAACATACACACTTTTCACTAATTAAATTCACAATAGATTTCCAAGGTTTTCAGACCTTTTCTAGTACTCCATTACTTTGTGTTTTGTTTCGGTAAATCATGTAATCGTTTTAATGTAAACGGCCATCATTGGTGTGGTTTGTCTTTACAATTTTGAAATTCAGTTGCTTAAACAAACAGTTCTATTATTTTTTTTATTTTTATTTGAATACATAGATATTGATACAAGGAGGCACCAAATACATATGCATCACACAAATCTCATTTGATATGTGTGAGGGATGTGATACTACCCGGGTGCCCAAACTGAAGCTACTGGAATGACCAAACCATCATACTAAACTTCGTGTTAACCATGATTTTAGGATACCAAACTTGTCCAAAATTAACGATAAGAGTAATCACTTGTATATGTCAACCTGGTTTCTATTAATCTTTTGAGATGTTTTTTTTTAAAAGTTTAGTATGATTAATATTGTGTTTGTCATAGATCGATCCCTCAGCCACCATTAGAAGTAAATTATCTTCATAATTACTGACGTTTAAGACCGCTTCATTAAACGTCTCACAGGTATAGTAGGGGGTTTATTGGTGTTTTGTATGTGGCTACATATAAGTCAAAAGTGATAGACCAACTTCATTTGGGCTTATTTGACATAATCTCCTGGATATAGAGATGTCCCTCATTTCAATAATGATGTAAACTGTAAATAACAAGGAAATGGTCAGTAGGTCAAGGAAATATCCTTATATCTTAAAAGCGAATGAGGCTCACGATGTTATGTTTTAATAAAGTGGGACAGCTATGTCATTTTGGATTGCTTTGAATACTCCAATGTCCGATTTTATGAAAGTAGACTTCGTGACTGTTGAAAGAAATTCAAAATCACTCATTGACTGTATCTTTACTAGCTTTAAGTACCCTTTAAGTAATGTCAGTCATCGATTCCATCTAATCGTCCGTTATTCACATAAATTAACCGTAAACAGGAACTTTTGATTTAAAGTATTATTACAATAAAATAGCAATCATCGAATAACAATTTTATGCATATATGTCAAAAATTTACCTTGAAAATCGTCAAGCCACGGCGGTTGTCCATAATGCTCTGAAGTGAGAACACCAGTATTTAAAAAAACAAGGACTATAACTATCCAGTAAAATGTCTGAGATTTAACAAGCCGACGACAAGAACGTCGGCAACGACGATTCCAACGCCGCGATCGCCTTCTAAAAGGAAAATTGATTTTCTTTATAAGTATAGGAGTGGTAGCATATAACATAGTTATATTAAGTTTTCCTTGATATAAAGCAAATAATATTCTCACTAATAAGAGCTAGACAAGCATGACATTGATCACCACCCAGTCATCAATCAATTGTGATTACATCTCAGTCCTACAGAAGGTTAGTCATGACTCGGATAGCTCAGTGGTAACGTCTCTGACTGTGAAGCTGGGTGACACGAGATCGAGTCCGCCATGGAGCACCAGTTCCCTCAAGATCACAGGTACATATTGCTGACGAGTGCCAAGTAGCACGAAACCCGGATCCAGGGTTTCCTGTTGACTACCTCCAACCACCATCTAATATTCTCACAATTTACATCACACATTTATCTTAGTTAGATAACCACAAGGCCCAACGTGTCCTTTCATAAATGATAGACAAATAATAAAGATTGTTAAAGCGAAAAGCTTTTTACATAGTTTATCCAAACTATTTAGTTATATACAAACTTAAGAAATCTATGTGTCATTGATGGGCGTTAAATTTAAAAGAAAACAACCGTACAAACAAAAGGACTGGGATTCTGAACACAGAAAATTGTATCACGTTCTATCGTAAGAGAAAATCAATTATTATGGAGTGTGAAAATCAACAAGAACAATGTGAATATACTAACAGTTGAATTCATCAGTTGGTCTAAGCTAGACCGTCATTGAAAATCTAGAAGCACTGAACAATCACTTCATCCTATTACGGGACTCCTCAGAAGTGCGCATCCGCGATCCCAGGACCTTCGGTCTCGCACATGAACAATTAACCTCTAGACCACCGAACTAGCCAGGATCCAATGGTGTTAATGTCTAACTTCATTCGATCCATGATCTTGCAGAACCTAAGCCATGTGTTCGAATCACATATGAGGGATCGTGAGTATGTACAGCTGAGGAGTTCCATACTAGGACAAAATAGCTTTCCAGTGCTTCTGGGTTTTCAGTGGTGGTATAGCTTAGATCAACTGATCAATACAACTGTTAAAAATACTACAATCTCCATAAATTGCCAAAACTGATAAATATACTAAACTATCGAAATATACGACCACAAATTATCAAACTACAAGTTGACAAGTTTCTATTACTTATTCTAAAGTTCTCTAATTTATTCTTTCACATAAAAACATCTTCCTAATTGATTATGAATAATAATTTATGAATGAACCAATCAAATTTAAGATGACAAGTCTGAGATTTTAGCGAGAAATTCATTTACTCAATTGTCTTAAATAGCGTCCTTGTATTTTAGTTAATATGCAGTTTGTGATGAAAAAACCAAAAATCTACTTCTTATCCTCAACTATCAACTGTAAATCATAATTCTTACTTTTCATACTGTTTTATGATTATCATTTAACCTTAATAAATAAATGGACATTCTCAAAGTCAGACGGTGGTTGGAGGTAGTCAACAGGAAACCCTGGATCCGGGTTTCGTGCTACTTGGCACTCGTCAGCAAGGTGTACATGTAATCTTGAGGGAACTGGTGCTCCATGGCGGATTCGATCTCGTGTCACCCAGCTTCACAGTCAGAGACGTTACCACTGAGCTATCCGAGTCATGACTAACCTTCTGTAGGACTGAGATGTAGTCACAACTGATTGATCACCACCCAGTGATCGAATCCACCAGGAACCACCAGTTCCCTCAAGATTACAGGTACACCTTGCTGACGAGTGCCAAGTAGCACGAAACCCGGGTCCACGGTTTCCTGTTGAATACTTCCAACCACCATCTAATCTCAATATATAATGCACGCGTCACCTAGACTGGTGGCCACATTGCAACATGGTCGATAGCATTCGATCTGCACTAAATAAGGACTTGACACGCATGACATTGATCATCACCCAGTGATCAATCAATTGTGATTCTCAAAGTCACTTTAGTATCTCTCAAAGGTTGTAAATAAATTATAGTTTCATATAAAACTTATCCCTAATAATTGTATTCTAATATATTGGCAATTCAAAGAGAATTTCTTATTTTGAAATATCAGGTTATTGTTATTAGTAAGTTCAATTTGTTTGTACAATTTACAACTGCATCTCTGTGCTAATGTGGTGTGGCAACTCGAACTGATGTACGTACGTACGTACGAAGTTCTACGTTGTTACTGACTGACTGACTGAATACATTAGATATGATATTTTGTCAATTAATGCCATCACATTAAGATATAAGATAAGTGATGTAATTTATATAAACTATAAATTATGTATCTGTCTAATAGAAATAATTTACATGAAAGTTATGTAATAGAGAATAGATAAAATGTATGTCTATTTAGCAGAATTTTGTATAAATTCTTTAGAAGCAAGGGAAGTTGCTAACATTGTTTTGACCAATCAGATCTTGTTGTAAAGCTCTCAAAAATAATCTATAAAAAGATTACTTATTTTCTTTCTTTATTTTGGATTGGACAATTATTATATTTATTAGAAATTATAAGCATTGTTTTTCAATGTTTCTAGAATAATCAAGACAATTAATATGAATATTTTTTTATTTCTATATATTATGAAAGCCTTCAAAAGACTATATTCTTTAGTATAGGGTTGTGGAGAATAATACATTTTAGATAAAGATCAAAAACTGATAGATGTTGGAGCAACATTGAAAACCTGGAAGCACTGGATGACCGTTTTGTTCTACTGTTGAGGACGAAACGGCTGTTTAGTACTTCTAGGTTTGCAACAGTAATCTAACATCAATCCATTCATGCTCTCAATCGAAAACTCGATAATCTCCACAACCCTATACTGATAATTACCATGTGCTCACTGGTGACTAGCTTCGTGAAGGAATTCTCGGAGTTCTAGTGATAAGCCGTGACCAGCGAAGCTAATCCGTATTGGGTAGAGACAGATATTTACCTCAGTACAATGGAAGATGGTCGAGCGATTTCGTGGATTGATTGAGGTTAGACATTAACAACGTCGGATGTCGGCCAGCTCAGTGGTCTAGAGGTTAGACGTCCGCGCGCGCGACTGATAGGTTCCGTGTTCGAATCTCGCGAAGCGTGGCCGTGGATGAGCACTGCTGAGGAATCTCACAATAGGATGAAACGGCTGTCCAGTGCATTCAGGTCTTCAGTGGTGATCTAACATCAATCATCTCATAATCTCAATCAAAATGATATTTTTATATTTCCAGTTTCCTGTTCTTTTTATTCAGCTTTGTGAAGTAGATTCTTGGTTACTGTGAAGTTTTTAAAAAGTTATTTTCCAAAGTATCTCAAGTGTGAATCTTGTGTTTTTTTAATGATCACACAGAAAGTGACACTAATGTCTATCAAAACTGTTGAATTTACTGATACTTAAAAAGTGGTATAAAAACCGGTTGATATTAATAGATACCGAACACAATTGTAATATTAATTCTAATTACAACATATGGTATTGAATTTAAACAACTCACCCTTTCAATGGAATACAGAAAAAATACTGATGTTGTTGTGATGATGATTGACTACGATGTCCACCACCGCCATCATCCAGTCCATGTTCAGATGGATCTTCTTCTTCCTCTTCAAAGTCATCAGTAGCTGAAGATGAGGTGGTCCGACATGCAGCACACCAATGAAATTCTGTAAAAGTAAAATTTTAAAAAATTAAAGGATATAAAACAATGATGACGTAATCAGTCGGCATTCAAGAGTAATTTCCCTATTACAGAATCCCCACAGAAGTAATTAAAATCCACTAAATGACAGATTTAGATATATAAGAAGACTATTCAGATGTGAATAAATTAAATTTGTTTAAGCATTAAGCTTAAAAACACAGATTATTGTTAATATACAATACACCATTCAGTGAAATAACCGGTTGTTATTCACTCAATCAAATCAGCGAAACTAGCTACATTGTTCAGAACGATCCAGATAGACGTATGCTGTTTAGTTCCTTGATGGTTTAGCTAAAAAAGGGTGTACTTGGAATAATTCATTACATAAATCCAGACCATTGCAACAACTTTAGTACTTTCATTATAAGACAATGATTGGAGCAAATAATCAGAAAATGATGTTTTTTTCTCATTTATAGTCAAGGTACCGGTTTATGAAACGAAAATAAAAAGAATAACCCTCTAAAGAATAGAAGTTACTTCTTAGAGATACGTTTAATTCCTCATGGAGCCCCTCTGGGGGCTACTGCCGGTCCCATGCCCGGATAAAGGAGGAGGGTTGGGCATGTTTATTTTTTCAGAATTGTTAACTAATTATTTGACCATTATATAGTTCACATGAATGATTAAGAAGTGTTTACAGTGTTCATTAATCGTAACCCTGCTTTATTTAAAGCAGTGTATACGAACCAAGATGAAAGTTCAGCTAATGAATTTTTTTCTGAACTCGATCCCAACACTTGACAAGCCAACGGAAGTAGGAGTAAAGTGATAGATATACTATGTGAATTAGTCTTCCATTCATATCATATGAAAAAAAGTCTAAGGAATTAATAAAGGTTTACAGAAGAATTCGTAAATATCTGCAGCTTAACAACGATCCCTTGTACCATAGGTCATGGAATAGCAAAATTTCTTGATAAACACAATATTTTACTCCTTCCTATATATGTAGTTGTCGAATGTGGTTATTAACATACATATGTAAACCGATATAAATCAAGATGTTTAACGCTAAATAACGACATTAATACCTTATAGAAGACGCGATTTCTTATAAAAATACATTAACTAGAACTGATAGTAATTTTAATCATGTATGTGTTGACATAATTGAAGCAACTATCCTAATTATCAAATATTTGATTGAGACTAGTCATAAGGTTGACATCAAGCCAGCATTTGTAGTTTTGTACAAAATTCTTCAAGGATATATACTAAGGTTTATTGAAGCCTTACCTATACGAAAACTGAAATTTCCTTTATGCGTTCAAAAACAATTTGTTCTAACACTTAACCCACCCTGGTAATACTGATTTATTATCCAGAGTGGTTATCACATTGTTTTTGTGTACTTTAATATTATTTTTTCTTTGTTACGTCTTACGTTTAATCTATCTAGTTGACCTTGTAATTTCCATATAAAACCAGGTCTGTTGTGAGATAGGAACTCACTGAAGATAATGGTGTACGGTGGCGCAACTTCGTGGATCGGTTGAAGTTAGACATTAACACCGTTGGATGCCGGCCGGCCGGCTCAGTGGTCTAATGGTTAAGTGCTCGTTCGCGGAACCAGTAGGTCCTGGGTACGGATCCCGCGTGGTGCGGGATCGTGGATGCGCACTGCTGAGGAGTCCCATACCAGGACGAAACGGCCGTCCAGTGCTTTCAGGTTTTCCATGGTGGTCTAGCTTCAATTGACTCATGATTTCAACCAGTGAAATATAAAAATGTCTTAACAAGTATAGATGTGTGATCAAACTGTTCGAAATGTATTGCGCAAATATATTATATAATTCTGTTAAACTTCTCATTGCATTATTGAAATTTATCAAAGGGACTAATTGTTTTAAACTTTATTATCACTGAATTACGTTATCTGTAGTGGAAAACACAATTGAAGTACCTCTCCAATAAGATAATTAGGATACGTAACAAATTAAGTACAATAAAATGGGAATTTAATGTTTGAATTTACGAATAAGGAATAACTGAAGACAAACAACTCAGAAAAGTAGAAAACTGATGGGAATACCGGTCTGCCAAGCGTAGTTCTGAAATCATAGAATATGCTTGCGATTTTGATCCAATCGTCTTTTACTTGTGATCCTAGATTTTCTATACATTCACTATTGAGTTTTTTTTCAAAGAAACAACTTTTTTTTGATTTTGTACCGATGTGTTTCAATCACAACATAGACAGCTGTTGGGATATTGAGGAAAATATCCCAAAAGTTATTCTGTTAAGTCTAACGCTATCCTTGGACTTGAAATGGTGTTGTTTTCTTATTGGTCAATATTTACTTCACGTGTCGTTTTCCTACTGGTCAGTATTGTACAATGTTATTTTTTATTTTATGGTACGATGTGGTTTGCTTGATTGTTATATAAACAGAGTGTGCTTGAAATATAACGATTCATATCTCCGAGGCTGAGACTTGCGTTCTGGACTCAACTGGCTGGGCTAGACAGGGAAGCGGGACCAATCAGAACCCTACGCCGTTCTTACGTGTTTGCGCGTCTTTGGTCCGATCGATAATTCGCTGTCCTCTAATCTGCTGTCACAGTTATAGCAACAGCAGACAACTGACATTATTTCTCAAAAACTAAACATATATATTGGACGCTACGTACAAAGATGTTTGTAAGTAGTATGTAGAGGAACCTTGTGTGAAAGTTACAACGATTGTCGGACAGAGTGCATCTGTGTTTACATTCTCCAATCAGAATCAATCAATATTTAAAATAAATGTATCCAAAACCACTCTTGTACTTCACTTATTCTATTATGCAGTAATGCGATTTAAGTCAAAAGGTAAATAAAAAGTAAAGTAGTCTATATACTACATCAACATCATCATTCAATGATTATGAAGTTAGACCAACTGCGGGCACTGAGATAATTTTAACAATACACAGTGATCATCTAGTTTGAAAAGCACATAAACTTTTCTCTTATCTCTGTAAAAATCATGAACACTATTTACACTTTAAAATAAATTACTTTTTTCTTTTTCATCTTCTTTATTTGTAGTTTCTTCATCATCACTAATATCTTCAGCTGCACTAATCCAATCTAAATAACCTTGTACATCTTCTTCAAATTGCATCTGTTCTCTAGCTTTTTGATATTTACCACGTTTTTTAGCTTTTTCACGCTCTTTTGAAAATTCCCTAATTCAATGAGAAAGGAGAAAAGATAAAATAGATAAATACAAAATCAATATAAACTATTTCTATATGACAGTTATATTCGTCAAGTTTATATAAATATTTCAATAGTTGAAATCATCAGTCCATTGAAGCTAGACCACCATGAAAAACTTCAAAGCACTGGACGGCCATTCCGTCCTAGTATGGGAATCCTCAGCAGTGCGCATCCATGATCCCGCTCTCCGCGAGATTCGAACCCAGGACCTATCCGTCTCGCGAGTTCCATACTAGAACGAAACAGCTGTCCAGTGCTTCCGGGTTTTCTATGGTCGTCTAGCATCAATTGACTCATGATTTCAACCAGTGAAATTTCTAAAAATCACCACAAAACCCCTCCTTATATAAATATCTCCATATTCAAATACTTTGTTTCATTAAATGAAATTAATATTGAAACTTTCAATGAAATATATTTCTATGACGTTTACAGCGGTTCTCTTGTACATAATAGTAAGTATCCTAATGAGTTAAAACAAACAATTAGATAAAAGCACATTAGGATATTTGACTATCAAATTGATTTTCTTAACATAAACAAATCTGTGCATTATAAAACTTCCTGAAATCCATTTTTAAATATATTGACAACTATTTCATCGAAAGTAAAAGTTTATAAAGTAACGTATAAGACATCAGATATATGGAGATTACAGGTTTATTGAAAAAGTAAATCATGGAGGTTGGCAATTGTAGCTACCAAGAAACATCCTTGATTACAGACATTGGAAATTATGTGTTTATAAATATTCTTGACAATCTAGGACTGGACTGTCATGAAATCCCAAAGTAATCATGAAAACTACTAGTTGGTGATCAAGAATACAGATTGATTATCTATATAATTAGTGTTCGCTTGTATTTCAGAGGTCTTCGAAATTTCAGGTTATTTCCATCTATCCTAGTGGTATGAGAAACGCTATATATGTCTTTTGCACACTGCTGAGGAGTCCTACAATAGGACGAAATGGCCATCCAGTGCTTCCGGGTTTTCAATGATAGTCTAACACCAATCGGTTCATGATCTCAACCTAAAACTATACTTGACTTTGGTACAATTTATTATGCCATATGACATTTCATGGATGTTATAGTTTGAAGTATATTAGCATTGAAAACGCAATTGACGTAATAATGTTAATACAGTTCAACGTTTTTAGAACGAAGATACTTTAATTTTCATTCAAGAACTATACTGATCCAATTCAATCACCTGACAAATATCCAAAGCGTACTTTTAAGTTTGTACCAGCTCCATACACACGTTTTAGATAGTAAACAAATAAACTTGCGATACTTTTAGGAATTAATGGATAGCGGCTATCAGTGAAATCCAGAACGAGAGTTTCGCTTTGTTTGGGAATTTTCGGCTGTGAGTTGCCGTAACCTATAGTTGGTGTTCATTCCGGAATCTGAACCCAGTACTACTTGCCATCAATCTTTACATAAAACTCCTTGTGATTTAGAGACAATATCGAGAAACAAAATGCAAATATACCAAAAAGAGACTGATCAATTCCGGCCATAGACATTAGTGAGAAGATTCAAATAACTAATACATATGAATTAAATTTTCAATATTCTCATGAATTGATAAGACCGATCGATGAAAACCGTTATGTGAACTTATCTGACCTCAGCATACATAAAATTGTAACTTTATTGTTTATATTGAATACAATAATATATGAGCAACAGTCACAATTTATCAGTGTACACTTCCTATGTATGAGTGGTTGCCCATATCTGTTTATCAATATTATCCCTGTCTACACGAACCATAAAAGTTTTGTCATGTAATGAAGGAAATGATTTGGCTCAAGCCATTTCTATATGTTATATAATTATATAATATACCCTTGTGGGCCAGGGTAATTTTACATAGGTTTTCAGGAGAACTAGATACCATCCGGACTTTCACGTGAAAACCCAAACAGTACAGCTCAACATCGTTTAGCAGAGGAACCAGACACCGTATAGGCTTTAACGCTACAATCTGAATAGTACAGCTCAATCCTGTGGCGCAACCACACAGGTACCAAGGACCCTGGTGGACCACATTTCTATATGCATGGATAGTTATTGGATCTTATGACTGTATGAAATACGATTTTTCAGGTACAATTCTTATTTGACTTTTGAATAACACCGTTGCACAATGAAAATAACTGAAGCATTATAAACTAAATGAAATGTGAGGTTTAACTTTCGTCTACATCAAATGGACTCAGAAGAAAGGCTACAAGATCTGAATTTCTTACATCAGTAAGCTACATTTCTACCATTGATTCTGTTCTAAGATATTTATCTTTCAGAACGAATTTAATGGTAAACCCAAAAATCTGAATAACTAAGTAATTTTATTATTATTTTCCTGGAGAAGAGCAGAAAATTGTATATACTAAAAAGCTTTCCACATTTTCTGGGTATACCTGAAAGATCCATCTTTTTCTCTTTGTTCTCCTACTGACCGTATCAAACATTTTATCCTGCTTGGTTTGAAATAAAAGATTTCGTGAAATGTTTGGATAAAAGTTCCTTTTTAAATGAACTTACTTACAACTATTTTAAATGACGAGCTGATAACTCTAGGATTAGACACTAAAAGACACTAAACACCCTGGTAGTGTTACTTGACTGATGATCTATCGATCATTCTGTTATAAAACATTAAATTAAATGTTGGTTATCTTGATATAAGCTTTTATTCTTATATATAATATTACCTTGTTAATGACAAAGGAGATTTTCCTCTAAACTTATGGTATAAAGAAACTATATGCTGACAATATCAGCAACCTCGATCTTGTGTTTTATTAATTCATGTATGCTATCTACTCTCCTATGTTGTTCTTCAAGTTTGAAAAAACTCGCTTTTACACAACACAATGAAAGCTATTATCAAGCTGAAAGGTAAATCTACTTCACTCGGTGATGAGCAGGATTGTGGAAATACAAATCTTGTACATAACTGACAAGTCACCCGCTTCATTTACCATTTTCCCTTTTACATCTCACGACAGAACAATCCTGTTATATCCCGATGAAAATAATGAATGATAACTGCTGGAATATATTTCTGGACTAGTACTATACATATATTTCTATTGTATAATTGTTAAGTAATTAAACAATTCATATTTGTGTTCCTCTTATCATAAGCTTTATTTTGACCTATAGACTATTATTATACGACTTACCATTCTTGAGCTATGTCTGGTCTATCAGTTACTACCTCTCACATTAAGTCACTTTTGGCTAAAGTTTGTACAAATGTTGTTTCCTGTTTTATGGTACGATGTGGTCTGTCTGGTTGGTATATAAACCCAGTATGTTTGAAATAAATGATTCATAGCACAGAGGCTGAGATTGGTGTTCTGGACTTAACAAGCAGGGCTAGGCGGGAAGCAGGACCGATAAGGATTCTAGACTGCTCATACTTGTTTTATGCGTCATTGGTCCGGTCGATAATTCACTGTTCTCCAATCGGCGTTATCATTACGATATACATTAATAAGAACACAGGGCACAAGTTACAACAAATCCACGTACACAAAACCAAATACAAGAGTTCTACCTACCCACCAAATATGTCATTAAAGGTAAAGGAAAAGCTAAACAAAAACCTTTGCGACTAAATATACATACAGTAGTGATGAAAGTTGTGATTTTAAATTATTTTGTAGTTCTTTCATGTAAATCATCTTTACAATATCTCATTCTGAGTTAAAACCTTGTTCAATTGAATATATGAGAGTAAATAAAAAGATTTTTGTTATAATTGCCAGTATATGTTCGATTTCTGCGTGTGAGGTCGTGGATATGTACTACTAAGGAATTTCATACTAGATGTCCAGTGCTTTCAGGTTTTCAATGATAGTCTGGCCTGCTTCTAGTCAGAATATGAAGATGATGAATAGAACATTGGAAATTTAGAAGGCCAGTATTCGATAAAATTAGATTTCATGTGAATATTATGAGTATTGTTTAGTTAAGATAGATGAATAAAAATAATTTGATTATATATGGAAAGTAAGTAATACAAAGAAAGAAAAAGAGAAAATTAAGTCATCTAATTAATTCAAGTTTACCTATTTTAAATTTAAAGAAGAAAACTTCTAAGAAACAGGAAGTTGAATAAGTAAGAAGAAATTAACATCAAATAGCAATAATATATGGGAAATAAACTATTTCCATAACATAAATGTAATTATGAACCCCAGATTATCTATATGTACTACTGATACATTTGATTGCTAATCATAATTAGCAGTATAGGGTTGTGGAGATTATTAAGTTTTTGACTGAGATTATGAACCGATTGATGTTAGACCACTATTAAAGACCTGGAAGCACTGGACGGCCGTTTCGTCCTACTATGGGGCTCCTCATCAGTGCGCATCCACGATCCCGCTCGCGGGATTCGAACCTAGGGCCTAATCCGTGTCAGGTAGAGACAGGTATCTACCTCAGTACAATGGAAGATGGTAGCGCAGTCTCGTGGAATGGTTGAGGTTAGACAGTAACAACGTTAGATACCGGCCAGCTCAGTGGTCTAGAGGTTAAGAGTTCGTGCGTGCGAGACCGAAGGTCCTGGATTCGAATCTCGCGAGGCAGTAGCGTGGATGCGCACTACTGAGGAGTCCCATAGTAGGACGAAACGGCGGTTCAGTGCTTCCAGGTTTTTCATGGTGGTCTAGCTTCAATTGACTCATGAAATCAACTATTAAATTAATCTGAAGATGTCAAATTAGTGTGGTTGAGATTTGTAGCTCAGGTGGATGATTTTCATGGAGTTTTGTTTGGAACTGTAGAACCTGAAGAGAATCTATTTTTAAAAAATATTCTTCGTTCATATATCAGTGTCTAGATATGATGGGGATTTGTAAATATATAAATATAAACAGGAAATACTTACCCACTCAAAACACCAAGTACTAGGTTCATAACAAAGAATGATCCGATAATGATCATACTGATAAAGTAAATCCATGGATATAACATCCCTTGTGAGTCATTAACCTAAATGTTCAGAAAGAAAATATCGGATGAGAAATATTAATTATTAATTTAATTAACGTGGAAATAATTCTCGTGATAAGTCGATCTTGAGGGAATTATGGTAACACATTCACATGCAACTTGACCCTATTTTTCAATTAGAATACCTAGTTTTACTGAAATTAACTTTTAAACACCCGGTCCAGCAGTCTGGAGGTTGAGCGATGGCGAGCAAGACTGAACATCCCGAGTTTAATCCCTGGTGAGGTTTTGAATATGCACTACTGTGTAGTTTCATTCTAAAGCGATACAGCTATCTATTGCTTCCCTGTTTACACTGGATGTGTCTAACATAACACATGTCTCTATCACCTCATTTGATAAAGGTTCACTACCTCACATATCGATTTTCAATCGTTACCAAGTATCTTATCCTCAACCCAGGCATTAATTACTCGGTGGCCCCGAAATATGTGGACTTTAATGGTCGAATACTGGTAATCCACGAATATCTTTTACTCTTAATGCCCATTTTTCACATCCATAAAGAAGAACGGAATGAACTAATGTGAAGTAAACTCGTCCTTTGGTTGGCGGATGGATGTATTAAATACACGACAAGCGGCCCAAGATAACAAAGTCAATCGAGTTAAACTAAATCGGGTAATTGGTATTGTCCAAAATAAAAATAAACTTCTTTTAAAAAAACTTATGCCTTACAATGTACAAACAATAAGTTATTCATAGAATAAAAGTTATAAAAGTGGGGATTTCCAACTATTTATTAAAAATGGTGAACATCTACTTGACTGTTAGACTATGAACAAATAATAAAACTCAACACCGTAAGGTTGTTCACGTATTCGATCAACTATAGACCTAAAAATATCTGTCTTAATTGTACTTAACAAATAACTAATAATTAAAACAATAGTATTAAACGGTTATATGTTTAGAAAACTGTAAAAGTCTGATCAAATAGCAAATCTCCTCTATATTGCATATCGAAGAAACGGACTTCAGGGTTGGCAAGCATCACAAGTCCAAATTAACGCTAACAAGTAGACAGCTAGCAACTCTACGATACGACATAAAATTCAAACAAGTCATTGGATTGACTTTAAAGATTTATATGTAAATTGTCAGGGGTGAATTCTAATGTTTATGGAAACCCTGGTAATATGAAAGACTAAACATCCGTAATGAACTAAGAAAAAAAAGTTCTTTTTCATCTTCATCCACATAATTCAAAAGAGTGATATGTCGACTGTCGATTATTTCCATACTGCATAACATCTTCCTTTGATATTTTTTATTATCTATATGAACTTTTATTTAGTTTTCCTTAACAAGTAAGTATATGACTAAAATTGGAGATGTATTGAACAAATAAATCACATTTTAAGATCAACTCCATTTTTTTCAATACATGTTTCAAACAAAATAAAAACATAAACTGGATGAACTCAAGGCATCAATGCTTTAACATAGACATTCTAACACAAGTCAATAAAAGATGCAGCTAGCAGTGGGAATCCATGACGCGTGTTTTGTCGGCTGAAGATACCGGAATCCTACTTTTATTTATTTATTTGAACACATAAATATTGGTAAAAAGGGGTACCAGATACATATGCGCCACACAAGTCACTCGATTTGTGTGTGGGCTGTGATATTGTCCGGGTGCCCAAACCGAAGGTGGCCGCACCCGTAGCCTTCGACCTAAAGGTCTGATCCACAAGACAGTGGAGAAACGTTAGTAGATGCCTTCTCATGTTAGCCAATGACCAACAATTGGTTCATACGCCATTTTTTCCCTCTAGGTACTGGAACCCATGTGCACCGTTTGTTTGGAATCAGGGTTTTCCAACTCCCCTTGATGGATCCTCCGTATCTACCGACCCGGTTAAAGCTCTGGACATTTGCTTTTCGTCCTCGCAATTTCGTAAACAACAGTAATGCCGCGAGAATGCAGTGAGTAGGACTTCCCTAACAGTGGCCGTATACGTGTGTCCATGTGAGAAGATTTCTATAGAGAGAGCTAGTTCTCCCCACCAGAATCCTAGAGTTAATGTTCATTCCGGGATTCAAACTTAGTACCATTCGCTTAAAAAGCCACTGAATTATGAACTTAACCACTAATTCCAGATAGCCATTCACTTGTTAAACGTGTATGAGTTTTAATTCAATTTAAACTGATTTGGATTGTTCATTATTGATGTTTTTGACAGAAATTTGATCAGCTTAAGCTATTCATTTATATATTTAGCAAAATGACTATCACTTTTAAAAGTTTAAAGCATTTAGTACCAGACAAAATTAAATCTAACACAAAGCTCTTAATGAAGAGTAAGGGAAAATTATGATTAAATATGAAATCATCAAGTAGACAGTCACTGTAGTGAACAACAAGACGAGGGGGTACAATCGAATGTAATTGAGCACAAAATTACAGAGCATCCCACTAAAATCTAAGATCCATTGAGTAAATAGATAATTTGCAAAATATCAATCCATCATATCAAATTTGACTGTTCCTGTTGCAAACTTCAATCCATTGTCTCAGATTTCATTGTTTATACGTTTTCATACTAATTGCATTGCGTTCCCGTTCTTTCCTTCTCGATCTTAGACTGAAATACATTCTATATGTCTGACCACCGTTATATACTACTTGTGTGGATATCAGTAACCCACACCACATTACATGTATATAGTCAGTCATAAACAATGTAAGATCCGGAAGAAATTCATATAGATATAAGTTGCAAATACTTTATATCAATACACCATGAGGAATTTAATGAGGGAATACCAAGAATAAAAGTAAACATCATACCAACGATACTGATATGAAAAATAAATTCAGAAAATAATATGCTATACGCATATTTCTAGTTATCTGTATCAATTACTTGTTATAATATGATTCTACATATAACCATGTATTCAACTATTAAATTACTACAATATCCACAAAACCCCTCTCTGATTATAATTATCATAGGCTGATGGTCTCCAAGAGGTATTTCCTGGAGTTCTAGTGAGAAGCAGTGACCTGTGGAGTCCAACCGGGTCTGTTTTGAGATATTAACTCACTGAAGACAATGGTGGATGGTGGCGCAATTTCATGGATTAGTTGAATTTAGACATTCACACCGTTGGATACCATCCAGTGGTCTAGAAGTTAAGAGTTCGCGCGCGAGACTGATAGAACCAGGGTCCAAATCTCGCGAGGCGGTATCGTGGATGCGCACTGTTGAGAAGTGCTATACTGGGATGAAACGGCCGTCTAGCGCTTTCATATTTTTCATGGTGGTCTAGCTTCAAATGACTCATGAATTCGACAATTAAATTATTTTGAAGATATCAAATTAGTGTGATGGAGAAGATTTGTAGCTCAGGTGGATGATTTTGATGGAGTTTTGTTTTCTAAGCCGCTTTACTTAAAAAAAAATAGTCATAATCTCAAATATATGCTTAAATTGAAATCAGTGCAAATACGAAAGCATTTACAAGTAATTAACATTGTCCAACAAATCCAGTTACCAATGTATTTCATTATCATAGTTCTAAAAACTACTATACCTTAGCCAGTACTGTAAGATGATTCTCCAGGTAATTGTCAGTGAAACAACAATCAATAAAAGTCAATCAGCTTAGATAAAAACACAATACCTCCAGAATACAAAAGAATAACTACATATAAATGGTAGTGATGAAATAAATAATTTTAAAAAATAAAATAAAACAACTAACCCAGTATAAAACTTGTGTCCAACCTTCCATAGTAATACATTGAAATACAGTTAGCATAGATAAACCAAAATTATCAAAATTAGTTATACCATAATTTGGTCCAACCCATCTTTCTGGTTGCGGTAAAGGTGGTGTAATATTTCCAGCTAAAATAGCTTCAGCTTGTTGTTTTCTTTCAGCAACAGCTGCATAACTCATATCCAATTTAAAATCATAACAAATTGTTGAACCTGTACACAATGCACCACGTTGATTTAAACTGCATGGTGATGGATTATCCTCTATTTCACCTTGAATTAAACAATAAGAATTTTTCTTAATTGATAATAAGGATAATAGGATTTAAGATACAGGTAATTTTTAGCACAGACTATGATTACCTACGTCTCAATTCAAGAGTACTGTATGTCCTTTGAATATACCATTCCTATACCGGTGTAACATCCGGTATGCATGTCTTATACAGCACTTCAATTTGAGTAAAATGTTAACCAAGTGCATAAACAGAAGGTATTCTAAATCAAGCAATAATAATGTTAATAGTACTAATAATCAGATTATATTATCTTTTTTGATTGAGATCATGAATTAATTGATGTTAGACCACCGTTGGAAACCTGGAAGCACTGGACGACCGTTTTGTCCTATTGTGCGACTCCTCAGCAGTGCGCATCCTTGATCCCTCTCGCGGGATTCGAACCCAGGGCTTTCAGTCTCGCGTGCGAACGCTTAACCCATTGGACCACTGAGCCGGCATCCAGTGGTGTTAGTGTGCTCACTGGTGACCAGCTTTTTGAGGGAATTCTTAGAGTTCTAGTGAGAAGCCCTGACCAGTGGAACTAATCCGTGTCGAATAGAAAAAGGTGTCTACCTCAGTAGAATGGAAGATGGTCGTGCAATTTCGTGGATTGGTTGAGGTTAGACATTAACATCATTGGATGCCGGCCGGCTCAGTGGTCCAGTAAGTTAAGCGTTCGCGCGCAAGACTGAGGCCCTGGGTTCGAATCTGGTGAGGAGAGACCGTGTATGCGCACTGCTGAGGAATTCCACAATAGAACGAAACGGCCATCCAGTGCTTTCAGGTTTCCAACGGTGGTCTAACATCACTTTGTTCATAATCTCAATCAAAAACCTAATAATCTCCACTACCCCTATACTGATATTATATTTCTCATTACTATCTTTTTTAAGCTTAAGTTGGATAAATTTAAGTAACACATAAAATGTAACCAATAATTACTAACCTGTTACAAAATCATAACATGTAGCATGTAGTTTACCAGAAAATAATTCTAGACCAACAATTGCATAAATAATTATTACAAAGATAACTAAAAGTGCAATATGTAAGAGTGGAACCATAGCACGCATTATAGAATTTAATACAACTTGTAAACCTATAAAAGAAATGAAAATATAGTGTATTATAATCTTTTGAAAAGTATGTAACGCATTTTTTTTATTTTTCAAATTTAAATTATTGGTAACTATGAGACAGGATAATAAGATTCGAACTATTGGAACTTCTACAATTATGAATAATATAAATAATAATAATAAAATGATCTGTTACTTATTAAGCCTCCAAATGCCCTGGTACGGCCGAGAGTGGGGAGAGTCCGCTCTCCCTCTCCAAATGCTCTCTTTCACATGGCCACGCTTATATAGCCTCCGCCAGGGAATTCCTACTCACTACCTTCTCGTGGTGGTGGTGTTGTTTACGAAATTGAGAGGACGAAAACCGAATGTCCGGAGCTTTAACCGGATTCCAAACCAATGTTGCACATGGGCTGGCTCCAGGATACTGAGGGAACAAATGGCGTATGAACCAATTATTGGTCACTAGCTACCATGGGACTGCATCTCCTTACCATGCTCAACTGCCTTGTGGATCAGGTCGCAGGCTCGGGGAGTGGCCCCCTAAGAAAACCACCTGCTTTGGTTTGGGCACCCGGGAAGTATCACAGCCCTCACACATATCGAATGAGATTTGTGTGGCGCATATGTATTTGGTGCCTCCTTGTACCAATATCTATGTGGTAAAATAGATAAATAAATAAATAAATAAATAAAATTGGTTCTAAATCAATAGGATGGATAGAAATCAAGATTGTTCGAATGCTTTTTGGAACGTTCTGTTTAATAATACATCTTGATTATCAAGATGTAAAAGCAGATTTGTTTCTAAGTGGTTGTTTATAAAGGGGGATATTTCATATTCGACCGATGGTTGGAGACCTTGAATGACATGACTCAAAATCGTTTACAATGGCGTAGGTGCCCTCACTTTTTGTGTCCTTCCAAATTCTAATCTTCTGAATTCCTCATATTCCTATTTTCCATTTCCAAATTTATTTCACTGGATTATACTCCTTGAATAACATCTTCAAACCCTATTCTTTCCGATTACTGCTTATACTTTTACTACTTCTACCACTATGAGATTTGAATTAAAAATTGTATCTCCGTGCTAATATAGTATGGCAACTCAAACTGATGTACGTATGTACGAAGTTCTACGTTGTTGCTGACTGACTGACAGTAATTATTCTCTTCAGTGCATTTATTCATTGAAGATATCAAACAAGAAACAAATTTCAGAATAGGGATTTGTGGAGATTATAGTAATTGTCATAGTTGAAATTATGTATCGATTTAAGCTGGAACACTAGGTTTTTAGTTGTAATCTAGCTTAGATCAACTCATGAATTCAACTATAAAAATTAATACATATTTGTCCCAGAGATCACTCGTTAAAAAAGGTAAGTGTGAAGTTAGTGAAATAAAACAGTTAAAACGGAACAAATTTACCATACTCATATATAGCCAAAAAATAACTCTTGTCAATCAATAAAGTTCCGGAGTGAACATCAACTCTTGGATGCAGATACATCTAGCTGTCGAGTCCCAAATAGAACGAAACGCATGTTTTGGATTCCACTACAAATCACTATGCGTCTTTGTTTAAAATACTTCATATTAAATACAAAAAGACAATTAACTTATGAACAGTATGCCCAAATCTCATTCCTTTTTTTATTAAGATGTCTGTCAGTTATTTTGAACACTTCTAAAATATTTCTATTATTTAGCATTCTGTTTTATTGTTATGATTATCGTTAGTTTATTGCGTTAATCCCCAATTTCATCCCAAGGCATGCCCTCACTTGGGATTCTCACGGCCAAAAGAGAAGAGAAATACCAAAGAACACATTACACCAAGAAATGGAGACATGTATGTAAAGAGTAAGCAACGATTGGATAGAACATGAAAGGTAGGCTCAGGACAAAGTGGGTTGGAGAATGTTGGCCGGCGGCCTATGGTTCATTGGGAGTAACAGGCGTATATAAGTAAGTAAGTAATTGCGTCAATCAATGCAAATACAAATCAAAATATATTTTTATTGAAAGAACCTTATTTTAATAGCTATGTTAACTGTTACGTTCAGTTCAAACAAGGTTTGATAAAGGATTGGTCATGTTTTTACTATCGATACTAATGAAAGATGATATGAAGTTGTTAGATGGAACATTGATGAAAAAATAGATGTCCGTTAAAATTCACAAACTTATAGAAAGACTGGATTATGTTGAGATCTGCTTGACCTAAAGCATTTGAAACCAAAATATACGTCATCTCCCCCCCCCCATTCAGAGTTCAGTCGAATAGCCTTGTTTTGATGAAGTCTTAACTCAGCTATCAATAAACGATATCATAAATTCAAGGTCATTATGTCAATGTTTCACGAAAAACCTAAGTAAAATGTGTATGATTGGATTACATGCAATTGTATTTACCAGTTTCCATATGTGTGTAAACACAATTATAAGGAGGATTTTTTTAACTTAGCGAATGGTTGTGCATCCAAATAAGTGACATAAAGAAAAAATAAATTTCACTGCCTCATTGGGAATAAATGACAGACATTAACCTTCTCCTATTCAAAGTCAACTAAAACAAGTCAGAGGATTGATTTTCTATATAAGTAGTATAGGGTAAATAAGTGAGTTTTCAAAAGTTCTAACTATGGAGTAATTCAAGTATTCCATCAATTGTGTGTTTAGAAACAATTTGTACTTAAACTAAACATATCCGGCCCATAAATGCCCTGATACGGCCGAGAGTGGGGAGTCCACTCTCCCTATCCAAATGCTCTCACATAGCCACACGTATATAGTCACTATCAAGGAGGTCCTACTAACTACCTTCTCGTGGCGGGGTTGTTGTTTACGGAATTGAGAGGACGAGAAGCAAATGTCCAGAGATTTAACCGGGTTGGTGGACACGGAAAGTTCACCTATGGGAGTTGGAAAACCCTCATTCCAAACCAATGGTGCACATGAGCTCCAGTATCCTGAGGGAACAAATGGCGTATGAACCAATTGTCGGTCACCGGCTACCATGGGAATGCATTTCCTTACGATGCTCCACTGCCTTGTGGATCAAGCCTTTAGGTCGAAGGCTCCGGGTGTGGTCACCTGCTTCGGTTTGGGTACCTAGATAGTATCACAGCCCTCACACATATCAAATGAGATTTGTGTGGCGCATATGTATCTGGTGCCCCTTTTTACCAATATTTATGTGTTCAAATAAATAAATAAAATAAAACATATCCCAATAATAGAGATTTTAATTTTAGTCTCTACAGTTTTGTAGTTTTTAATGTTTGTCTTTCTTCTCATACAGATCTCTTAACATGTTAATATCTGATCAATCTGTTCGAAGTAGTTTGCAGGAGAATATTACATATTTCTGACATATTTTGTTTATTAAAAAGACTAATTGTTTCAAAATGTAAACATGTTGTACAGAAAGATAAGTATGATACCAAAAATAAATAAATAAATAAAGATGGAAGCATTACATACTTGGTAAACCAGATACAAGACGAAGTGGTCTCAGCACTCTGAAAGCACGAAGTGCTTTAACATCTACACCAGATTGCTCAACCATTTGTTGAATAAGTGGTTGTAAAAGTCTGTACAAAAAAGTTCAATTATTAGATTAGAACATAATTGGAAAATTATTTATCACTTAATTTTTCATAATCAAAACTTTCATTTCTTACTGTAAGTGAATAAAACAATGTAACTCTATGGACTTAAATTATTAGATTCAAGGAATTGTGGTTTCTTAAGCGTCAAAGTCAGTCAGTCAGCTACAACGTAGGACCAGGCACACATATGGATCGGTCCAAGTTGCCATACCTCACTAGCCCAGCAAGATGAACACCGGATTCATAAAAGTAGTTAATTCAGAGGTGGTAATATATAAAAAAAAGATATTAGTTCGTAGAAAGAAAGATATGAAGTGATTTTAATCTCCTAGTTAAAGGGAAGACAGCCAGTGTATAAACCTACACCATTGTGATCGATTCTGAGCCACGTCACCAAGAGTCTCCAACCATTGGTTACGATAGTCACGCGGACCCTAACCAAGTAGTCTGCTCAGACCGGAAGTTAGTGACTTCAAGCACTGATGCCATGTTTTCGTTTAGCCGCCCCTAACTTTCAATCATTCCCAACACTAGTCAGGATTGAGTGTCGTGGTAATTGGTGTTCAGGCATACGCAACATGTGGCCCAACCATCTCAGTCGATGAAGTTTCACAACCTCACCAACTGATTTAGCATCATTCCCTAATACCCTGCGTCTAACTTCACTATTACTTACCCGATAGTCCCAGCAGATGCCAGCAATATTTCTAAATCATCTGTAGTCAAATACTAGTAACTTACGAGTATCTTTGACTCTTAATGGCCACGTTTCGCAACCGTAAAGTAGAACAGATTGAACTGCCGATCAGTACACTCGTCCCTTAATTGATAGATGGATATCTTGCCTTCGCCATAGGTGACGAAAGTTGGCAAACGCCAAGCGAGCTTTTCGAATCCGTGCTGAGATTTCGTCAGACACCAACCCATTAGGGCTGATCAGACTCCCAAGATAAGTTAAGTTGTTGAGGTTTTCGATTACTTCACTTCCTATCCTTAGTTCAGGTGCTGACTCAAGCCAGCCCTGAAGCAATGACTTGAATTTTAGAGGGGGTTAGCTCATCCCAAAAACATCCTGTTATTGTTGCTCAGTGCTATCAAAAGACTCTGCATTTTATCAATAGGATTTCAACGGGTAACCGGTAACTGAAGTTTAACTACCGACTATTTATTCATATATATATATATATATATATTGAGACAAATAATACAAAAATTAGTACAAGTTAAAATGTATCACTTACTGAATACAACAAAAGTTGATTTGAATCTGCACACATCAATAACTATTAACAGTAATAGCTTTTATCAGTCTCAGATTCTAATTAAAATAAAACGCTAGTGGTTGGAACGGAAAAATTTAGCGAAATCAATAAATTGTCAGTATAAGGTTGTGGGGATTATTAAGTTTTTGATTAAGATCATGAACTGATTGATGTTAGACCACCATTGAAAACCTGGGAGCACTGAATGGCCGTTTCGTCCTAATGTAGGACTTCTCGTGGATTGTTTGGAGTTAGAAATTAACACCATTGGATGTCGGCCAGCTCAATGTTTTAGAGGTTAAGCGTCCACGCGCGAAACTGAAGACCCTTGGTTCGAATCCCGTGGGTGAGATCGTGGACGAAAAGGCCGTCCAGTGCTTTCAGGTTTTCCATAGTGGTCTAGCTTCAATTGACTCATGAATTCATTTATTAAATTACTACAATCTCCACAAATCCCCTCTCTGAAAATAGTTATTTATTAGTTTAGTTAATCAGTTATTTAATAAAAAACTGATTGTTGATTTTGAGCACATATTGTATTGATAACTCACCAAATGTTCCGAACTTACCCTAAGATAACTATAGTAAAGTCAAGTATATTCCATGCATTACGTAAGTATGCTCCTGGATGCATAACAAAACCAAAAGCTATAATCTTTAAAACACATTCCACAGTAAAGATAACAATAAATACATTTTCAATTTTTTCCTAAAAATTAAAAGAGAAAAATTCAAAAATATTTTCATTTAGGATGTAATATTTTGTTGGCATATGTGCATTCTATGCAGACTGTCTCAATATTACCTGAAGTCACAAGCTCTAAAATCAAAACGGATAGTGGCTAGCAATGGAATCTAGGACGCACGTTTCGTCCTGAACATCAACTCTGAAATACAGGTACATTCAGTTGACGAGTCCCAAATAGGACGAAACGCGCATTCTTCATCCCACTACTAGCCACTATCCATCTTTGCTTATGAAGTTTATGTATTGTAACTCGAGTTTTGTCAGACTTGCTTATCCAGTCAATAGTTAAATTAGATTTATTTTCCTTGAAAAAGCTTGGATCAGATTGCCAGGCGAAACGTTGAATTTACTTCAAATTAATATACATTGCACAACCATGAAAACAAAATAGCATTAAATAGCTTAGAACAAAAAATAAAAATGAGTGACGAGACTATAATTTATGGATGAACCAATCAGATATAAAATAAAACGTCTTGAATTTTGGCATGAAATTCATTCATCCATTTGGTTAAAGAGCGTTTTTGGCATTCTAACTTATATCAGTTCATAATGAAAAACCATAAATCGAATTCCTAACCCTTAACCGTCAACAGTAAATCTTATTACTAGTTCCTCATCATGGTTTATAACCCTCATTTGGTTCTAGTTAATATGTGGACATTCTCAAGATCAATTTAGCGTCTCTCAACGGTCGTCCATAGATTATAATCTCATCGCATACTGATACTACACATTAATCCCTTTTTCTTTTAATGGATTTCTACTTAATGAATACTTTAAATAAACTATACATTTAATAAGACAAACCAAGTTCAAGTTTTAAATCAGAAAAGTAATATCAATTAAGAAACATCTTATATTTTATTTATAGATTATATTAGATAAAAAAGGTTTTTTCACAAAAATCTACAAAGCTGTTATGCCTGTTTCAACGAATCTATTTTATTTTTACAATTATAATAGACAAGACATACAACACGATGATCAATAATATCAGAAGGGGTTTTTTTGTAGATATTATAGTAATTCTAATAGTTGAGATCATGAGTCAGTTAGAGCTAGACCACCATGGAAAACCTGGAAGCACTGTACGGGTTCAGTGGTCTAATGGTTAAGCGCTCGCACGTGAGACTAATAGGTCCTGGTTTCGAATCTCGTGAGGTGGAATCGTGGATGCTTATTGTTGAGTAGTCCCACACTAGGACAAAACGGTCGTCCAGTGCTTTCAGGTTTTCCGTGATAGTCTAGCTTCAATTTACTCATGATCTCAACTATTAAAAAAATAGTCATTCTTTAGAAAAATTAGTCATTATAATTGTTTGTAATGACATCCTTTAAAATACAAACCCATGTTTCAATAATCTATATAAACTCAAAGAATTGACAACAAAAAACTTTTGGGATAATAAAATTTACTTAAACACTTACCAATATGTGATTGAGAGTATTTGAATCCCCATCAGGGTATGGTGTTATAGCACCAAGTGCACAACAGTTAGCCATTATCGTAAGAAGAATAAGGTATTCAAATGGTCTATCAGGTTGAAATTAAGGTTACAAGCCGGATAATAGAAAAATATTTCCTCTTTAAATCAATAAAATCAATAAATTTACAACATATGATACCTGATTTATTTATTAATGTAAAGCAGACAGTTGAAATATAGTCTTAACCACCACACTAATGAGCTAAGAGATTGATGCCATAAAGTTTTAAGAATACTTCTAACATGAAAGCATCCAACTAATAACACAGCATAACATTAAACACGTCTAGGGTAACTACCAATCCCAGACCAGATAGTGGATGGTGATTGGGAATGGGGTTGGCAACTCCATACTGTAGAAAATAACCGTGTTGAAAAACGTTAATTAACAAAATCATTTAAACTCTGTTCTGGGAGTTGAAGAATCTTCATTTAGAGGAGTTATAACACTTCACGCTGAAAGCCAAGATTCTTCAGACGTCATGAGGCTGATGCCCCTTTCGACAACTAGGTCAACAATTAATATGTGTACATGGAATATCTGCTCAATGCGGGAGACCATTCAAGTAGCCTTCTAAATGAGAAGATACAACCTGAAGGTACTTTGAATAAGTGAAACCTATTGGGCTCAACCTGAACAGAAAATATTAACCCGAGAGAAGTGTCGTTGTACTCTAGTCGTGAATCGGCATGGCCTCCAGACTACAAATAAGCTGACACGAGACACTGAAACCAAGCGTAAACACAGCTGCAAAGATGCTCCACATTCTCTTCAGAAAGATCTGGGAAGAAAAGCAATTATCAGCTGATTG